AATAAAAACTGGACCAAAGCAATTACAGACAGTCCCCGTGAGCCCCCCCCCCCACTCAAAGAGGTGAGGGGCAAAGCCCACGCACAGGTGCTCACAGAGCAGCCCCCAGCCCGCCTTTGCAATTACAACCTTAATGAAGCACCTGCAGCTCATTACCCACCCCCCCCCCAGGGCCTCTCCCACAGATGGGGGGTGGCCGGGTGCCCCCCATCTCCAGCTGTAAGGTGTTTGTGGGGCTGAATACTGCAGGAGCGTGGGGTGAGCAGACAGGTACGATACGCGTTTCTGGCTCTTAAATGGGTGTTTGCAGAGCTGGGGTGCTCCTGCTGCCTTTGTCCCTTCCCTGGGTCCCGGTCTGGCTCGGTCACCCCCATGTGCCACCCCTCGCAAACAGGGTGCAGGTCACTTCTTTCCATCCCCCTGTTAACATATTGCTTGTTATAAGTTAGCATCAGATAAACTAATTTAAGCTCCTTCTGTACTGGATGTCTTGGATTAAATTGGCATGGTACCTAATGAAGCTCAAGCTCCATTTGTTGTGCTAGAAGCCCTAAATATCAGCAGTGTAATTGGTGCTTCCTACTTTAAAATACATTTGTGTGTTTTTCTCCCAGCTAAGAGCCCTGCGAGGGTGCTGACTCTGAAGCTGGAGGGGCGGTGGGTAGAGGCAGGAGGGCTGTAGGATGCGTTCCCCCTCCCTTGTAGGCTGGAGAGGTCTCAAAATTTGGCTTTGGAGCCGGAGGACAGATGGGGTGAGCGTGCCCAGCCTCGTGCACGCGTTGCTTTGAGGCTGTGCTGCCTTGTGTGCACCGGGAGCAGACTCTGCGCGGGTGCTGTGGCCGGGCTCGGCTCTGATGTGGTCACACACCTCGTTTTGTTGTGGGGAGCTACGAAGGCAGCATCTCTCCGGGTGCTGGGACCGGGCTGGGGTGTGTTTGAGGTTGGGTCTGGGCCAGGATACGACCAGGCAGCTCTGAGCTTCCCCAGGGCGGTGAGTCCCTGCAGCCCTGCGCGCCTTGGCAGGGGCACACAGTGCATTATTTGGGTTTATTGTGGAGGGCTCCCGTGGGTGCTGGTGCTTGGGCATGGTTCTACACCCGCAGCCCCCAAACAGCACTGCTGGATGCTGGTTTCAGCATGTCTTCTAGGTTGGTGCCCAAACTATTGGTGGTTTTCCTTATGTTTATCCCTACGCTTTCCCTGCTGGTTTGGGTTTTGAGGCTGAACTGAGCCCCCGGGCCCTCCGGGACAGCCACTGTGAACTGGTGTGACGTGGCTGGTCAGGCCATAAGTAACTGTCCCACAGCACCGTGCCATGCTGGTCCGGGGCTGGGGAACGGCGATCCCGAGGGGGAAGGTCCTGGGCAGGGAAAGAACTGCCGTCACCTCCATCGTTAGTGAAATGTGGCTCGTTAATAGGTTCCAGGTTTGGCACTGGAATTGAAACCTCTCCTTTCTCCATCACCTGTAAATCCCCTTCAGCAGAGGGAGCCACTGCTGTCCCCGTGGGCGATCCGTGCTGGGAGGGGATCAGACAGGCTGCTAACTCGGGCATGAAAGAGCAGTCTGGGCAAAACCAGTGCTGCAAGATTTTTGGCTGGGATCTCCCTGGCGAGGCTGTAATTGTCCCCGTTGGGTGCTGCTGGGCTCAGACAAGAGGGTCACCCAGAGATGGGGCGCTGCTGCCCTGGCTGGGGGGGGGTCCCTGTGTGGGGGAAGGATCCACACCTCCTCCTGGGGGGGGGAAGCCACTTGTGCAGCTGGTCCTGCTGCCCAGCTGAAAATGGGGAAGTGTAAAAGCACGGTGGGGCACTGGTCCCTGCTGGGAGCAGTGACAGCTCTGGCTGGAGCCTTTGCCCCAAGGAAGGGGACGAGGGTCCCTTTGGCACCCAAACTTGTGGGGGTTTTAAGCCTTCCCCGAAAGGGTGCTGGCAGCGTGAGGCAAGTTCCTCGCTGTGCCTTAAAGCTCTGAAAACCAACCTATTCTTGAAAAGCTCTCTCGCAACGCCTGCCCTGTCCCCCCCCACCACCTTGCTGGATACTGCACGGCTCCTGGGGCTGGGGAGACCCAGGCCCCCAAAGCCACCCCTGCGGGAGCCGCGGTTTTGAGCCGAAGCTCGAAGAAGGTGCGAGAGCAAACGCTGCCCGCTGGCAGCCCAGGGGAGCCTGGCAGCGCTGCCCGCCCTGCCAAAACGGCGCGGCAGCCTCCTGCTCGCCGTGGGTGTTTGGTGCAGAAAGAAGCTACTAATGACGGCGTTGCGCCTCCCGAAATGCCGCGTTCTCTCCCCGTCTCGGGCAGGCGAAGGAGCGGGGTGCTCCTCTCCATCTCCCCCGGCCCGGGTTCATTCCCTAGCCCTCGGGGGCAGGGGCTGCCCTCCCGGGGTGGATCCTCCAAACCCCTCCGCGTTCGAGCCGGCCCCGGCGATGCGGAGTAGAAGGGCTGTGGGCAGGAGGGGAGGCAGCTGAGCCTGCCCATATGCTTCTTAATGGGGAGCAATAGCAGCTCTTCCCGGGAAAGCTCACGCTGCACCATCTGCTCTGCCGTGGTCCCTTCTCTTGCAGAGCCTTTTTTAAGCTCTAACTTTCCTTCCCAAGCGCTCTGCGGCGGCTGCTTGCGTACGGGCTGTCTCCGCTTCGTAATCGCCTTGAAACAGGTTGTCTGAACCTTCGACGCCGAGCAGGAGAACAGCCCAGACAGGCTGAAGTCAGCCAGGCCTCCAGGAACTGTGCTTCCACTTAAAAATAACCAGGAAAGCAGCTGGGAGCGGCGGTGCGTCCCCAGCGCCTTCCCTCTTGCTGGGCACCCGCTCGCCCTGGGGGGTCCCTGCCCCCCCCCCTGCTCAGGGCTGGCTGGGATGTACAAACCACAGCCTCATCCCGCATCCCATCCCTGCACGAAGCGGTTATTTCTTTCCGCACCGTGCTGCATGTGCAAAAGGCCAAAGGCCAAACCCCAGGGCTCCTCTGGGTCCCTGCTGCTTGCTCATGCCCTCGCCAGCTGTGTGAAGGGGAAATAAAAACAACTGCTGCACTGGGCTTCCCAGGAGCGGGGCTGGCCGCAAATTATTTTACAGTAGGAGCAGCACTGGCCTCGGAACTTGAGTGCGGGCTCCGGCTGCCCCGGGGGGGGGCTGGGGGGGGGAGCTCCCCGGAGGGAGGTGCGGTGCAGATGCTTGGGGAGGTCGGTCTCAGCTCCCAGCAGCAAATCGAGCTAAATTAAGGCTGGATGCAACACATGGGCGTAGCTGGGGGCCGAGGGGGAGGCTGGCGGGGACGGGAACGCGCGCAGGCTGACGCCGTGCGCAGATTGATGGTGCCAAGGCACTTCAGATATCTTTGCTGTTTGTTTGTGCGAAGCTCTAAATAAAGCTGCCAGCCCCAGCGGCTGCCTGGGGAGGGAGGAGGGAGCCTGTGTGTGTGTGCGTGTCCCCCCCAGCATGGCACAGCACCCAGTGCTGGCCTTGGGGCCTGGCCCGGCGTGGGAGAGCAGTTGGGTGTGATCTGCGCTGCTGGGGATGCTGTGGTGTGGGTGTGGGGGGGTGCTGGGTGCTACCTGGGGGGGGGGGGGGGGGGGGCGGAGGGGGTTGGGAGCTCCTGCTCAGCCCCAGTTTGCAGAGCAGTTGCCCCTGGGTGGGCGGAGGGGGAGGCAGGGTGGGTTTGGGGAGCTGGGGGGTCCTGCTGGCATCGCGTCTGGCAGCAGGTGACTGTGCCCATGGAGGGGCTGGGGGGGACACACACACACACAAGCTTGTCCCTGTCCTGGCCTTGCTGAAGTGCCCGCGGGTGGTGGGAGAAGCTGCAGCAGGAGGACGTGTCCTTGTGCCTCTCCATGTCCTTGGGCCTCCCCTGGGAAGGACTCTGGGTCAGGCAGGTGCAGGGACACGCATCCCATGGATGTTCACACCCAGGCACCCTCCTCCTCCTCCTCCTCCTCCTCCTCCTCCTCCTCCGCTGCCTCATCCTCAGGCTCTTGCCTCTCCGTGCTGTGGGTTCCTGCTAGGAGCTGGTCCTGCTGTGGGGACATCATGAGGATGTCCCCACCTTCCCAGGGTGTGTCCCCGGCCCCCCTTGCTGAGATGGGTGCAGGTACCTCCTCTTCCTCCCCACCCTCCTTCCAACTGTGCTGCACCAGAGCCCCCTCCTCGCTCTGACCACCACCACCCCCCCCCAAAGGGGCTCAGCTGGCCTGTCTGGGTGGCACCTCCGAAACGCTGCTCGTGCCTCTGCCGCCGGCCCTGCCTGGTCCTTTGGGTGGCACAAGACCACCCTGCGTGGTCAGGAGCCCCGAGGCTGCGTGGCCCCTGGCACCCCGGTTCCAGTACTGGGGTGCTGGGCTGAGTGGCCCCTGGTACCCCGGTTCCAGTACTGGGGTGCTGGGCTGAGTGGCCCCTGGCACCCCGGTTCCAGTACTGGGGTGCTGGGCTGCGTGGCCCCTGGCACCCCGGTTCCAGTACTGGGGTGCTGGGCTCCGTGGCCCCTGGTACCCCGGTTCCAGTACTGGGGTGCTGGGCTGCGTGGCCCCTGGTACCCCGGTTCCAGTACTGGGGTGCTGGGCTGTGTGGCCCCTGGTACCCCGGTTCCAGTACTGGGGTGCTGGGCTGCGTGTCGTGGCCGTGCTGGCAGGAAGCCCGTGGCTAGCAGAGGTGTGTGGAGGGGGGACCCCAGCCCCCCCCCTCACTGCCCTGGGCAAGCACTGTGGCTAGTGAACCTTCTCCTTCCTCTGCCCCAGCTGCTTCCTCCACCCCGGCCCCGCGTCCTGCCAGCCCCGGGTGCTTCCTGCACCCCGCGACCAGCCTGGGGGTCCCCCCCTTGCTTTAAGGAAAGGGGGGGGGGGGGGGGGACGGGACACCGGGGTGACCTTACAAAAGCAAGTTTGCTCCGGACCGGGGTGGGGGATGCTGGCATCACACACGCCCCCCGGCCGGCAAAACGGCTTTAAGAAGTGTGTGGGGGGGGGGGGGTCTCCGAGCTGGGGCCGGCCCCATCCCGCCGCGGTACCACGGTGACGGGGGCGGGGAAGCGGCTCCGCTCATGCGCCCGCCCGGAGCCCGAGCGCGGGGGCCCGGGCGGGTCAGCGCCCACGGGCGGCGGCGGCCCCGCGTGTACGTGTGTGTGTGTGTGCGCGCTCCCCCCGCAGCCCGGGGGAGGCGGGAGCCCAGCCCTCCTTCCTCATTTTGGGGCTGAGAAAAGCGATTTCCTTCTCCAGCTGCAATTCTGCTTTTCTTCTTTTTTTTTTTTTTTTTTTTTTTTTTTTTTTCTCCTCCCTCCCTCCCCTTTGCAAATAATAAAGCAGCAAAGCAAGCCCCACGCCGGAGCCGCGCTCTGAAGCCACTCTAATCTCTGCTTCTCAGAAACAACCGACGATGGAGCCGCTTCCCCGCGGCCCCGGCCGGGCTGCCGGGCTGCTGACCTGCCTGGTGCTGCTCTCCCTGCGCGGCTGCCCAGGTAAGCCACGGCTCGGCTTCTGCTCTTCTCTTCTGGTTTGGCTTCTGTTATTATTTTTTTTTTTTTTTTTCCCTTTTCCCCTCTCCCCTCCATCCCTGCCCCTTCTCCCCGCCGCACGCCCCCCGTACTTAGCGACACGATGCCATCTCGCCACGCGTGGTTGGTTTGACCTTTCTTGGGCGATGACCTAGAGCGCGGCGATGACGGGGGGGGGGGGGGTCCCCTGGGCCCCTCGCTCTGCTGCTCCTCTAGAAGCAAACTTCAAGGCAGACATTCCCCTTTCCAGCGAGACGAGGGAATTAAGCAGGGACGTGAAGAGGCATGTTGTTTCCACCCGTTTGCTAACACCCCCTGCCAGCTATGTGAGAGGCAAACCTCTGCCAGCAGCCCGAATTCCCACTCAGAGGCTGCCCGGAGACGGGAAAGATGGCAGCGAGGGCTGCCTGCCTCCTCTGCCAGGAACTTGTTTTCCTCACTGCCCCCCACTTCCCCCCCCCCCCCCCCCCCGGCGGCGTGCAGTTCTTGCTGCTCTCCCCAACTGTTGAGCACCGAAGCGCTGGGGTTGCCCCATCCATCCCCCCTTGCACCCCCCAGCCCTGTCGCGACCACCGGCCCTGGGTCACCTCGGGCTGCTGCTGCCAGCCCCCCCGGGTGCCCCAGGGCTCCCCCGTTCCCTTAGAAAAACTCAGGGATGGAGCATGAGAAGGGATGATCAGAGCGTGCGCCGCTCCCCGGCTGCTTCCCTTCCCTCGCTTGCAGTGGGAAGTTCCTTGCCCCACCAGGAACGAAGCCCTGTGGTGGCTGCTGCTTTCAAGGATATTTCCTTTCTAGGATGTTTCGTTTTGGTGCTGTTCATCTTGCTAAGGAATCGTTCACCTTCCTGCCCCGTGCTGCCTCCGGGGAGGGACGGGGCTTTTTGCGCAAACCTCCTGGGGCAACAGCAATGCCCGTTCAGGAATATCTTGCTGCTGAGCTTTTTGCCTGCTCTGTCCAAATTTCCCACCTTCCAGCTGGACCCCACTACAAATAGCCCAGCGCAGGCTCCCACAGGGGTGAAACATCATCCTGTGTCGGGGGAAACCGCTTGCTTCCAGGCCCGTTGAAAATACTTCCCATCAAAGCTTTACTTGGGCAGAGAGCTGAGCTCAAACTTGAGCAGAAAGCAAATGCTTTCAGCGCAACTCTCCTTGCTTTGAGTTGCCTGATCACAACTGAGAAGTGTTGGCCCCAAGCTGAAAACTCCCAGTTGCTGAAAGCCAAGAAGGCTTTGGCGGCAGGAGCAGCTTCCCAGTGAACCACTGCGATTTCCAGCTACCAAAGAATGGCTCGAGCAAAGCTCTTGAGTTAAATTAAACGTGGCCTTGGAGTAAGAACCCCATTTTTCCAAGCGGGTCATGGGAAAAGATCCATCCCAGGGCAGAAAGCTCTGGGTTGCGAGGTGGTCCCTGATTTCAGGTGCAAGCATGCAGATTTTTTAATATTTTTTTTTTTTTTTTTTTTCCCCTGTACGTGGTGAATCCTCCTTGGGCCATGGCTCTGACTAAGCCTGAACTCCAGAGGATCTGGCCCAGGTTCCCGTTGCCGGAGGGCGGCTGCTCCACCAGCGCTTCTGCAGGGGAAGAGGGGAAGGTCCTGCAGGAGATCTTCCTGTAGGGCAAAGAGGAGCGAGGTGCTGGGAAGCCAACTTGCAAAGCCCTGTTGCAAAATCTGTGCCGTGCAGAACCCTGCCGTGCAGGCATTTCTCGACAGAGGGTTTCAGCTGTGCTTCTCAGAGCCTCCTCTAAAGGGGAAATGTGTTTTGGTTCAGGGGGCTCTGGCTTTCAAGCTGAATTTCTGCTAATGTTGTAGGAGGGAAGCTCGCAAATGGTGGTTGCGTGAGATCTGAGGCTTCCTCTGATGTCATATATGTAAAATACAGCCTTTACTATAACCGTCCCTGAGCCGCTCTGGGATCTGCAGAGCTCTCGAGACCTACCCCTCAGCCTCTCTTCTTGTCTTCCCCCGAAATGCAGATTCCAGGCCCTTTTTATAGGCGGCACCTGTTAGTTTCCCCTGCTGCAGGTGAAATTCCAGCAGGATTATTTTGGGGTTTCTCTTGCCCACCAACCCATTCCTTTAGTGAGTGACCGGGGCTCCGGATGCCGCTGACCAGCTGCACGTTGTTTCTGGAGCGTGCAGCCCTCCCCTCGCCGTCCCAGAGCCCCTTACCCGGCTCCTTCAGAAGATAAAAAAATCTATTTTTATCAGGAAGCATCCAAGCAGCCTCTCCTGAATTAAACCCCAGCCTCTTGCAATCTGTTCGGTATCAAATACTTCAAAAGGTGGAATACAGGGAAGAAAAAATGTGTCACCGAGATGGAAAACTTGCACTGCAGCGGGAGTTCTGGGGATTATTTTGCTCTCAATTTAAATTGAATAACAGGAGGGAGGCTCTGCCAGACCAGGCGCAGCACGACGCCTGTGCTCGTGCCTCTTTTCTGGGCCGGGAGCGCTCTGGGTCTGCGTTGCGAGGGTGCTCCCACCTTCACGGGAGCTGTTGGGCGATGATTTTCAGGGCTGTAAAACCCTTTGCTAATTCTGGAGCGTAGGATAGAGCAGATCTCGGGGTCGGAGCACCTAAACTCCCCTTGGCCCCGGTGGCGAAAGGGTTCTGCTCCGTCTCCAAGTGGTTTGAAATCGAAGCCTTAAGGAAACGATGTGAGCGGGTGGCACGGTGAACGCGCAGGTGGGAAGCGGGTTTGCACGGAACCGGCGGTGAGAAATCGCGGTGCGTCCCGTGCGTTCGCAGGGGGCAGGCCCCTTGCACAAGCACGGGTGCGCGAGCACGTCGTGAGCGTGCAGGGCTCGCACGCGCTGCTGGCAAATACCTGCACCCCCCGCTCCTCGGGGCGAGCACCCACGAAGGGGAAGGGGGAGAGGGAGCTGCAGGGTGCAAGGAGAAGCTGCATTCAAGGGGAAGGGAGGAAAGGAGCTTCAGTGGAAACTTTGCATTTTCTAACTTGCATATTCTGGGGTTTTCTGTCAACTTCCCCTTTGTGTTTTCCCATTTTGGGGGTGGGGGGCATCGCTGGGCGCGCTGCTGCTGGAGTTGGAAGGTGCTTCTGAGCAGGCGGTGGGTCGGGCCTGGCGTTAAGGGCTTTTGGGTGCGGGGTGGGCGGGGGGAGAAGCTGGGGGGGGGGGGCTGGTGGAGGTGGGAGCGGGGCTCGGTGAGGCAGCGTGGTGTTAACATGGCGCGTCGTGGCTGGAGCTCGTGTATACCAGATCTGCAAACGGGCTGATCTGAGGGAGCTGCGTGTGAAAGTCTCTGAAGCAGCGTGGTGGCTCACCCAGCAATACCCATGGAAAAATACCCAAACCCCATATTTTAGTCCTAGCCGAGAGGCTACCCAAAGCCACGCGGCGTTTTCTGCGGTGACCAGGAGCCTGAGAGCTGCCAGTGAAGCCTCCTGGCAGGCGGCAGCGTGAAACCCTTTGTTCCCCGGCTGCTCTCGGGGCCTCTCTGGGAGCAGCAGCACCGGCAGAACGGCCCCGCTGCGGCAGCACCTCCGGCATCACCGGACGACAGCACGTGCCCTGCCTGCAAATCCCTCGGCGCAGGGAGCGGGCAGGGTGCTCGCACGCCGCTGCCCGGCGAGGAGGGGCGAGATGCGGGCAGAGCAGCCGTCAGCCCCGGCTGCAAACCCCGGGCCCTCGGGGAGGCAGCGAAACCCCCGGGGTTTAACTGCCCGGTGCTTTTGCGGCTGTCGCGCTGAGACCCCCGTCGTTGCAACCGAGAAATGTGCTTTGGGGTTGGGCGAGGCCGGAGCTGCTCAGCCCAACCCGTGCTCCGGTGTTGGGGTCAGCTCCGGGACCCCAAAGCAGGCGCTTCCCCCGGCTCTGTCCTCTCCGGCACGGTGCGTGCCTCGTGGGGAGATGGACAGATGGAGAGAGGGAGGATGAAGAGGAACCGCTCGGTTCTCTGCAGGCTGGGCTGCGCGGGGCGGTGCTGGCCCCTCCGAGCAGGGGAGCTCCCCCCCCCTCTCCAGTGCAAGGGACCCTCGATGGGACCTGGGCTATGGGGGTCACCACCCCGCAAAAGTCTCTTTTTTTTCCTCCCAGGATTGCGGAGGGGGAGCAGCAAGCGGCGTGTTCATCACGGGGTGCGGAGCCGCTGCGGTGGGGGGGGGGGGGCCTGGCTCCCGGCCCCCCCCACTTCCCACGGCCACGCAGGGCCCTTTCCACCCGCTAACGAGCAGCGAGGCAAAGCAGGCTTCGTTTGCCCAACTTAAGGGAGCGAGCAATTAGCAACACGGGCACCGTGGGCACGGGGAGGGGCTGTGCCCAGAGCAGCCTTGGTTCCCCCCCCCGCCTGTGTCACGGGGGCTCGGGCAGAGGCAGATGATGGGAGGCGGGTGATGCTTGTGTGCTTTCAAACTTCCTCTGTGCGTTTCTCAACCGCTTCTTGCAAAAGGTCCGGGGGGCAGCGAGCGATGGAGAAGCTCCGGAGCTGCCGCAGCAGCGGAGCCGGCGGTGCGTGCCCTGCGTCACTGCCGCGGGGTGCACGGGGGGCTCTGCTCCGGGGGGTGCTCCCCCGGATTAGGGTGTCACCCGAGAAACACGGGCTCGACTCGCAGAAGCTGCCCAGACGCAGGACCCAGGGCTCGGCCTCGAACGACGCGTTCGGACGCGACGCAAACCCGGGTTCCGTCCTCCCGCGCTTGTTTTATGGGATAAACTTGTGGTGCTGAGTGCTGCCACCGCGTTAGCCTTGACGCGGCTTCAGGGGGAAGCGCCGGGGGCTGAAGGTTTTGGCTCCGAGCATCAGCCTGGGCTGGGGATGCAGGCGATTAACGTCCTGGGCAAAAAGCCTCTGACTTGGGGAGTCTGGAGAAACTGTGCTCCCGCTGACTCTGGCCGTCGAGATGGAGTAATTGCGCGGGCAGGGAGAACGTCTGGGGGCACGTCAAACACTGCTGGAAGTCAGAAGGAAGCCCGAAATCCTGTCCAGCCTCCGTGGGAGCTCAGCTGTGGCCGGGAGGGATCAGAACAGCTCGTCCAACAGTGGAGCCTCCTGGGAGCATCCAGCCAAGGGTTTTGTCCCATCCTGGGGATGGCTGCGGGGGGACCGAGGGCAGGAGCCGCCGCTGCCCTGGGGTTTCCTGGCGTGAGAGCTGTGGGGTGCAGCTGCAGCCCCCCCAGCCGACAAGGCTGAAGAGCCGGGTGTGCTCCTGTCGCTCCCACCTGCCCGGGATGGGGGGCCGTGCGCTCCCAACGCTTTACCTGCTCAAAGATGCCAGGCTCTGCGTGACCGGGCCGCCGGTTCTGCGTGCCAGCTCCGGGACTGCCGCGGCCGTTCTCCTTTAACCAGCCAACTGCATTGAAATCTCATTCCATTCGGTCACAATAACTACATTGGCGTGGCCAGCATTGCCAAAATTAACCCCTCGAGGAGCCGTGTGGGCAACGGGGTGGCTCCCTCTGCTGCTGCGAGCTGGTTTGGGGGGAGCAGGGAGCAGCAGCACCGCTGGTTCCTGTGGGGCTGAGCCGGCCGGTTCCCGGCGCATCGCACTGATGTGGCAGCGAGCTCGGGGCCGCGTCCCTGCCAGCTCTGGCTGCAGGCCCACCTGGGCTGGGTTTTGTTATTTTCTGCCCACAGGGAGAGCAGGAGCCCCTGGGGGTTTTCCCGGAGCCCTCGGGAGTTTCTTCTCCCTGCCCGGCCGTGCACGCGGGAAGGCGCGTTGGCACCCATGGGTGCGTGCGTGGCGGTGGGGGTCACTTGGGATGTGGCGGCTTTCTGTTTGTGCGGCGAGGTGCAAGGCGGGCGGCTGGATTAGGGAGGCTGGCTGTTGAGATGCTGGGAAGGGGACTGCTCTCCTCTGTCGGTGACAAGCAGGAATGGCGTCTGCCTGACTGGCACCAGCTTCAGTTAATGGCTGTGCGCCGCTGGAACGAATCGGGGCTTGGATTCAGTGCAGAAATGAGGTGGATTCGGTGCAGAAAACGCGATACGGCATCTGCGAGGGGAGCTTGCTTTTTGGAGTGCCTTGGATTCGGTGCCCTTGTTTCCTCCCAGCTGGCAATGGGATGCAGCCCGGCGTGCCGGGAGCTGTGGGCAGCCGGGATTTGCTCCGTGTTTTGGCTGTACAGAGCGCGACGTGCAGTCATCCAGCAAAGCTCCGGCCGGCTCCGCTGCCGAGGCCTGAGGTCTGTGACCACTGCCGTAACCGCAGCCTCTGCCCCGGGCTCCCCGGAGCTGGCACAGCCCCATCACCCGTGTCCCCGCTATCCGGAGCTGTGTGCTCAGCTGGAGAACCTGACTGGGTGTGTGATGCCATATGAGACTCAATTTGGGTTTTTTGTTTTGTTTTGTTTTTTTTTTTTCCCCAGGTGTGGATGCCCAGGAGAGTCAGGACTTTGAGCTGCTGCAGCCCCAGGACAAGGTGTCGGTGGCAGCGGGGGACACGCTCAACCTGACCTGCACCATGTCCGGAGGCGGCCCCATTGGCCCCGTGAAGTGGCTGAAGGGCTGGGGCAGCGGGAACGAGACCGTTTATGAGCAGACGGGCTCCTTCCCCCGCGTGACGAGGGCAGAGAGTGAGTCTGGCACAGACTTCACCATCCGCATCAGCGACGTTCAACCTGAGGATGCCGGCACCTATTACTGCGTGAAGTTCCGCAAATTGCTGGGCAGTGCTGATGAGGTGTCCCGGCGTGGAAAGGGCACGGTGGTGTCTGTGGATGGTGAGTGGGGCTCCCAGAGCAGCTCCCAGTGGGAACCAGCCCTGCTGGGTGCAGCCCCTGGCCCATCCCAGCCCGGTGGGCTCTGCTCTTGGGCTAGTGGGGATGGGGAAGGGGCTCGGGGGCCAGTCCCAGGAGGGGATCCTGTGGGCCGTCGTCCCTGGGTGCATCTGTGCCCCCATGGGAGATGTTGCTCCCTGCAGCCCTGGGGTCGGGGGGGGTGGCAGAGCCCGGTCTGATGGCCCCACGCTTCTCCCCACAGCCCAACCCACCACCCCGGTTGTGTCCGGGCCCGACCACAGAGTGGGACCAGGGCAATCGGTGCCTTTCAACTGCACGGCCGGAGGGTTCTTCCCCAAAAATATCAGCGTGAAGTGGTTCAGAAACAAGGTTCAGATCGCAGCCGAGATGCTCGAGATCACCTCCGGGCAGACAAATTCCTCCTACAACATGCGCAGCACTGTGAGCGTGAAGCTGCGGGAGGAGGACATCCACTCGCGGCTCGTTTGCGAGGTGCAGCACTCCACGCTGAAGACCCCTCTCAGCACGGTGTACCAGCTCGGCAAAACCCTGCGAGGTGAGGGCTGGTGAGTGGGTGTCCCGCTCCCGTGGGGCTGGGGGTCCTTGGGTGGGGGACAGGGCACCTTGCAGGGAGCAGAGCTGGGGGGATGCCAGGCACCAGGAGCTTCTTCTCTCCCCAGTTTCCCCCAGTGTCCGCGTGGTCCCTGACCCGCTGAGCCCCGTTGAGGTGAACAAGACCTTGATCTTCACCTGCCACGTGGAGAGGTTTTACCCGGGAAATGTGACCGTCACCTGGCTGGAGAATGGGTCGGAGATAAAGGTGGAGAACAACATGTCCCGGCTGGAGAACACCTCCCAGGGCTTGTTTCGGCTGAGGAGCCTGGTGGAGGTCCAAGCGACGGAGGAGAGGAACGGGTCCGTGTTCACCTGCCGAGTGGTGCACGATGCCCAGGACCCCATCAACAGAGTGGCCACCCTACGGATTGCTGCCCTGTCCAGGGATGGTCTGGACGACCCGCCCGAGAAGGATAACGGTGCGTGAGAGCTGCCAGGACGCAGTCCCTGCCGGGGAGGCTGTGAGATGGCACCCCCCTGAGAAAGCTTGAAGTCCCACCAGAATCCCCCAAAATCTCTGTAATGGGGGGTTGGGGGGTGATGCTGGCGGGTACCGAGCTGTCTTCAGTGCTTCGGGCATCACCAGCCCGATCCCAGCTGTGAGGCGGTGGGGACTCGGTCAGTACCGGCGTTTTCAGGCTTGTGGTGACCTTTTTCACTCGTGTTTCAGGCAGTTTGATCATCATCTACATCGTGGTGGGAGTGGTCTGCACTGTGCTGGCGCTGCTGGTGGTCGCAATTCTGTACCTCATCCGGGTGAAGCAGAGCAAGGGTGAGGAAACCAAGCGCAGGCAGAGGAGCAGCTGCTCCCAACCTGCTTCTCCTTCTCTCTCGGGCATCAGTGCTTGGATGCTGGATTCACTTCTGCGCTGCTGCAGCTCCTGCCCAAAGGGGAGGACGGAGCAGAGCTGACGGGGCGGTTTGCAGGCTGCAGGGAAAGCTCTGCCTGGTTGCTGCTGTGTGCCAATGCCTGCCAGGAGCAGAGTCAAACGGGCTTCTTGTTCCTTGTACCTAAAATGTCTGACACACCCCCCCTGCACCTCCTGCCCTCTGCCAGGAACTATCTTGCAGTAAATGGAGTGAAACACCAGAAAACTGCAGGCACTTGCCTCTGGGCAAAGATGTATATCTGCTCTTGCAGCAGTCTCTGCACGTGGGCTGCCTGCCCAGGGAAGTGGGGGGTTTCCTGAACCTATTTCTTTCCTAAACTATTTTTCTTCCGGCAGGTAAAAGTTCACCATCTGCTAGGTAAGTGCAGATCTCCTCTAGTCACTGAGTAACCCGCGGGCACTCTGGGCTGGACACCTCCAGCTCGCAAACAGGGTCCCATGGGATGGGGACGGGGCTGGATCCCCCAAAATTGATCGTGAAAGGGAAGGCAGGAGCGCAGGCTCTGCTGATCTCCCCGGTTGTGGCTCTGTCCCCGCGGTGGTCTCGTACCCAAACGCTTGGCTTTCGGTGAGGCTGGCCAGGCGGGTGGGAGCAGAGACGTGGCTGCCCCGGCACGCGAGCAAGCGCTCCCCGGTGAGGACTGGGTGCTGCTGCAAGGGCCTCGTCTTGCATCTGAACCCCCCCCCCCCCCCAGCTGCTCCATCGCTAGGGGAAGAGGCAACAGGGCCCTTGATCTGCCTTGTTTTGTTCCCCCCTTTCAGGTTACATGAGCCGGAGAAGAGCAGCGAGGCCACTACCCAGGTGTGTCGGAGAGCCCACGGGAGGCAGGGGTGGAGGGTGGGGGTTCCTGCGTGGAACATCTCTGTGTCTCCAGTGGAGGGTGGTGGTTCCCCTGTGAAACATCTCAGTGTCTCCACGCTGTGGCCGGAGAGGGAAGAGCTGCCCCAGGGATGGGGTAGCCACTTCCCAGCATGTTTTCTGCCTTCGCCCTCTCCTCCTCCTCCTCCCAGGAAAGTCTGGGTTTGTGCTGCGTGGAGAACCAGCTGTGCGATAGCCAGCCGGGCTATTTGTGGAGTTATTTTGCATTTGGTGACGCAGTTACGAGCAAAGTCGTGATCAGCAGCAATCTGTCCGTCCCGCCCAGCCTCTGCCAGCTCCCGCACAGGCATCACTGGGCAGACTGGCCCCTGCCCGTCTCTGCCAGGACGGGGTGACGGGGCGGCTGCGGTGGCGGCTCTCGAATTGTGGTGGTGGCTCTGAAACCTGCCAGTGGCAGCGGTGGCTGGGGAGTGGAGGATGTAGGACGGGGTAAAGCACTGCTGCGGGATCGTCCCAGCCGGCTGCTGGCATCGTTCCCCCGGCACGAGCAGAGGCTGAGCTGTCCCAGGTCGAGCTGCAGCGGGAGGGACTTCAGCGCGGGGCGTGGGTGGGCACGGCGGGGGTCCCAGAGGAGGAACTTGGGGGTGTCTCCCGCAGGAATCCGACCCCAACAACCTGACCTACGCCGACCTGAACTTCGACAGAGAGAGGAAGACCATCCGCCGGATGGTGGAGATGAGCCAGCAGTCGGAGTACGCCTGTATCCAGACCAGCCGGGCGCCCACCGGTGATGACAACCTCACCTACGCCGACCTGGACATGGTACACCTCAGCAAGGCGCCCAGGCGACCGGCCCCGCACCCCGAGGAGGCCAGCTCCGAGTACGCCAGCGTCCAGATCCCGAGGAAGTGAGCAGGGCTGGAGCGGCTGCCGGGACCTTCCCCCCCCCCCCTCCACACCCGCCCCCAGCCCCGCTTCACGGGGAGCCACCCTGCTCCTCCCCAGGGAGGATTTTCTTGGAAGCACGGAGAGGGATGTGAAGATGCGCTGCGGCACCCGCGTTTCGGGATGGCAATGGAACCCGCAATGCTGTGGGGGTCAGCTCCCGCCCGCAGAGACCTGATTTTTGGGGGGGGGTAGCTTTGTCTCGGGGCTGCCGGCTCCATCTCTTTGGGATTCCACACCCACACACCCCCCCCCCCCCCGGCCCTCAACAGCCATGGGGGCCGCTCAGCCTCGGTGTGCCGGGTTTGCCCGCACGTGCGTTAAGCCAGCGGAGCGGCGGCTCCTCGGGAAGCTCCAGCCGGGCTGAGGGGACAGGGACAGTGCCTCCAGACCGGCTCCCACGGGGATCTCACTGCCTGGCCAGGCTTGCACGGCTTCTCACAGCCCCCCCCCCCGAACACACACACCCCGCAGGGGTCCCCACGCTGCCTTTTGGGGCTCTCTGCCGCCAGCGCCTGGAAAACAAACTCTGGCTTTAAAGGCAGGACCTAAGCGTCCGCTTCTCTCTTCCCAAGTGTCCCTTCCGCGGGACCTCGGTCTCGCACCAAGGCCGATGAGGCTGGGAAGGTCGGCGAACTGTGAGCCCCCACTGCTGCGGGCTTGCCCCCCATCCTGCCGCCCAGGGAGGCTCCAGGTAGGGCTCCCCGGCACCGAGCATCCTCCTCCTCCTCATCTTCCTCTGCACAGCCTTGCCCTGCACCGGGACCCACCAGCGCTGCCCCAGGCTTGTACAAAGCGTGCAGCTCCGAGCCGGCCGGGCTGCGGGTGCCCGCGCCAGCCTGGCCCTCCCCGGGAGCTCCCTGCAGGTACCGTGTAACATGTTTTGACTGTTTGACATGTAACTGTTAATTTTTAGAGCTAAAACCCAATGTTTCGTGTTGTACGTGGGTGTACTGCTGTGTACTTAACACTAGAATAAGATGTGCAAAATTAAGACCGAGGCCTCAGTAAAGACCTCTAAACGCTGCAGAGTTTAAAAGACTTACACGACCCCCCCCCCCTCCAGCTCTGCCATGGCGGCCAGGCAGGCTCCTCCCAGCCCACCCGTGGGGACAAGTGTCTTCCATGTGCCCCCTCCCTGGGCTGCCCTGTGGGGCCAGCACCCTCCCTTGGCTCCCGCAGCACCCGGGTGGCCTTGCAGCAGCGGGCACACATGGAGCTGGCCCCCCACCAGCAGCCGTGGCGGGGCGGGGGGGCCTGGTGATACTTTGAGAACAATGTGACTGCTTGTACAGCACTTTTTTTTTTTTTTTTTTCCTTTTTTTTTTTTTTTTTTTTTTTTTTTTTGGCTTGCAAGATATTTTTATAATAAAAGTGAAAAGTCCTGTGCTGCTCCCACACATAAGCGTGTCCCTGTGCTCAGGGCGGTCACTTTGTCACCTGCATTGGAGGGGTGCGTGGTGGGGTGGGGGGTCTGCGTGCTCTGCAGAGAGGAAGGGGGGGGCCTCATCCTGCGCAGCCCTGGGCTGTGCTGCAGAGAGGAGGAGGAGGAGGAAGACAGCAGCAGCGGGAGGTTGAGGCTGGGATGGGGGCTATGGTGCTGGTCCTGGGAACTGCGGCGTGAGGTTTACCGCGGTGATGAGCCAAGGCAGAGGGTGAGGCCACGATGAAGAAATTCAAAAGGGAATTTGCTGCTCAGGCTGAGCTTTCTCGCTGGCGGGGTCACGCTGTCCTCAAAGAGTGAGTGGGGAAAGGGACAGCTTGGCCACCGGCCTGGGCACGGCTGTCCCTTCCCGGCGGGGGCAGCTGCTGTGACTCCCAAGGGACCCTCCCCTGGGTGCTGTTGGGGGTGAGCGGGAGGTTCCCCAACCAGCACCCTGCTCGCACCCAGGCCGGGCTGAGCATCCCTGCCCTGCCCTTGCTGGGGGGGGGGGGGGGGGGTGCGCTCCAGGGGTGCGTGGGGTCCCACATCCCCCCTTGGCACCCACGGCGCAGGGAGGGCACCCCCACGCGCTGCCTGCAGGGCTTGCAGGTGGCACCCCTGGCCCCCATCTTGGGGTGCAAGGTCCCCTCGTGCCACCGGCTCAATCTGCCCCGTGGAAGACGCTCAGCACCCGGCACGGCTTCGTTGGCATCTGCCTTTTATTGGCTGCGGGGGGGGGTGGTGGTGCTGGGGAGCAGGCGCCGGGGTGAGGGTCCGATCCTGCCTCTGGGGGTTGTTCTCAGAGTGGGGGGAAGCCCGGGGAGGGGGCACCAGGAGGGTGCTGGGCAGAGGGCCTGATCCTGCCCCAGCTCATCCTTCCCGGTGCTCAGAGCCCGTTGCCCTGTACATCAGCTGTGATGGTTTCCAGACCCTGCTGCGCTTCTGCAGCTGCCTGCGGGAGGGTGGAGGATACACGCCTGTCTGTGTCTGTGTCTGTGTCCCCCCGCCTCGATTTGCCCCCAGGAGCCCTGGGGCTGGACCCGCAGCCGCACCGCCAGCAGCCGGAGGGGTGGCACTGTCCCCTCGGTGTATGGAGTCCCGAAGGGGTGGGCAGGTGAGCCAGGGAGCGGGCACAATCGGGGATGGGGACCCGTGGTCCCCAGTGGGGATGAGGCGGGCTGGGCAGGGGATGGGGCCGGGGGGTGACGGCGCAGTCCGGGCCGGCAGCGTGGGGACCGTGGTGCCGCCCGTCCCACGCCCGGCTCTATAGGTCTGAGACCTCCCCTGAGTAGGCTTTGGGGTCCTCCTCCGACCGCGTGGTCACCTTGAACTGCCGCCGCAGGAAGCCCCCGTAGCGCTTCTGATTGTCCCACTTCAGCTTGGGCCGGATCCGGCGCATGAAGCCGCCGTAACGCTTGTGCAGCTCCGCCAGCTCCTGCCCCGCGGCCCCGGCACCCGCGGGCTCCTCATCCCCATCACCCGCCGGCCCCGGGTAGTCCTCGGGGGCCGCCCGCTCCCCCGGCTTGCGGTCGAAGCCCCCCAATTTCTTGCTGAGGCCGCCCTTGCTGTGGGCGTTCTCGCGCAGCAGGGCGAGCAGCTTCCCCTTGGCCATCTTCTTCAGGAAGCCCCCGTAACGCTTGGCCGGCGCCGGCAGCAGCTCCCCGGGACCCGGTTCTTGCTTCGCCTCCTCCTCCTCTTCCTCCACAGCCCGAGGGGACGGGTCTGTCCCTTCGGCCAGGGCCACCAGCGGGGCCAGGAGCGCCAGCGCCTTCCTGCACGCCTCCCACTCGGGGCCGGGCAGCGAGGAGCCTTGGCATTCCCACAGGCACATCTGTAAGACAGTGACCCCGGGGCACCCGCTGGCATCACCTCGCCGCTCAGGGTGACACCCCCCCCCCCCCCAATCCCCCCCCCTTGCCTTTCCTCCCACCCCGGGGATGCCCCTACCCCAAACCCAGGAGTCCGTGCCCGCCGTGCTGCCAAGCCCAGCGAGGAGCTGAAGCTTGCACCTTCCCAGCACCCTGGGGTGCCCACAACCACCACCCCTCGCAGCACCCAGCTCCACACCGGCACCCACCATGCCCACCGCTGCTGTGACACCCCCCCACACACACCCCTAACCCCCAGCTAACGGTGGTGTGGGGCTGGAACTCACCAGGGGCCGGACGCTGCTCTCGGTGCCGTGGGTCTGGGCCGTGCAGAGGGAGCACTGGGTGACACAGTCGGCGGATGCCACCGTGGCCAGGGAGAGGCAAAGTGCCAGCGCCAGCGCCCGCCGCTCCATCTCACCCCGCAGCCGCTGCCTGGGGTGGGGGGGGGAGTGGGTGGGGGGGGTGGGCAAGACAGCCACAGAGCCCGTCACCCTCCCCACGCCCACCCCTGGGAGCCCATCACCGTCCCACTGGCACCCCTGGGGCACCCACAGCCTCCACCTGCGCGGCTGCTCCTGGGGACACGCACCGGGACCTGCGCCCACACGACTCACCTCCGGGGGCTGCTCCTGGGTCCCAGGCGGGGAGAGAAGGGGACAGGAGTGACCGGCGGGGACACCGCAGGGTGTGATCCCTTACCCCGGCCGCAGGCTGGTCCTCGGCACAAGCCCTGAGCCACAGCCAGGCCCCCAAGGCCACCGAGGTCCCCAGGGCAGGGACACCTATCCTATCTTATCCTATCCCATCCCATCCCATCCCGTCCCGTTCCCTTCCCTCCATCGCTCCTTCCGTACCATTAGAAAGAAAAGCCCCTTTTTTTTTTTTTTTCTTTTGCCTTGAGTTTTTCTGCAATATTGCGATCGCCGCGTTTGCGTGGCGCGGGGAGGGGGATGAATCACCCACTCTCCCCCTTGGTCTTGGGGAAGGAAAAGCACCGCGATCGGAGCCGCCGGCAGGAAGGGGATGGGGGGATGCCACCACCCGGTACGGACTCACCCCAGGCTGCAGCACCCCACGCCGGGGCAGCCCCAGCTCCCCTCCCTCCCATCCGCCGCTTCTGCTGGGCTGCTGCAGCAGGAGGGAGGGGGCAAAAAGCCGGATTTCGGGTTCCAGCCTACCTGCCAGCCGTCTGTCAGCCTGCTGGGAGCTGTACCAGGGCCTCTCGCCTCGGCGGCAGAGGCCAGGGAGGGATGAACACGCCGGGCAACAGCTGGGAGAGGGGCTGTGCCGGCAGCAGCACCCACCACCACGCCACAACCCCCCGGGTGAGGCCGGAGGGGCCGGTGCCAGCTCCGGCTGCAGTGCCACAGGACCGTGGTGCCACCGGGATCACGATGGCCCCAGGAGCAAGAGCTGACCCCCAAAAGGGTGCGCTGGCAGCAAGCACCCGACCGCCTCCTTGGCTGCTTTTATCTGGGGTGGAAAGGCATGACCCAGAGGGATCTGTTACACGTTAATGACGCATATTAGAGACTATTGTATTCTCCAGCAGTATCTGCTAATGTACTCTAATTGGTACTGATGAAGAAATGTTAATGCCACGGTATTAATTCATGCTAGATTAAAATTTAATTTGAATTATCTGCACCGTCGTGTGTCAAGCTGTCTGCATTCCTCGGCTGCACCGAAGTGCATCCCCTCGACTCGCCCTGGCCGAGCGGCCGGCGCCGGGGCACGGCGGGACCTCAGCCAGCCCTCGCCCCCGGGACACAGCCACCGTCCCTTACCGCCTCGCCGCCCACCGAGACAGCACTGAGGAGCGAGGACTCGCCCGCCGCGCAGGTAGGTGCCAGCCGCAGCACCGAGGGGAACGAAGCTCCCCAGAACAACCACCAGCTGCTTCCCAGCAGCCTCACCGGGAATATTTTTCCCCGCTTCTTTTCCCACCCGCTTCCCCTCCCCTTGCCCCCGCCGTGCTCCTCCGCTGCCGGCAGCCCCGTGGGTTCCCCCTACGCGTGTCCAGCAGTCGGGGAACAAGCCGCAGGCGCGACCGGCACCGCACACCTCGGTCCCCCGGCATTTCGGACACGGTGTGTCCCATCCCTGTCACCCAGCGCCCGGCCCTGCCGCAGCCAGAGGGCTTCACGGCTCTCAGGGGAGCTGCATTTCTCCGGGGCACAATGTGGCCAAGGACCCTTCGTGCCTGGGCACCCTGGGACACCCCGTGGCAAATGTACCTTGTCCAGGCGGTGCCACAAATGCCCCCGCAGCGCTCTGCCTGCTCCTGTGGCTGGAGGGTGGGGAGGACTGGCAAAAATGGGGCAGGAAAAGGGAAAGAAAACAAAAGGGCTTTGGGCAAAACCGAAAAGCAGAGGCACACAAAGGGCAGAAGAAGAAAAATTAGAGCTCGATCCTACATTACCTGGAAGAGCACCAAGGTTCCAGAGCCTCGTCCCTCCTGCAGAAATGCCTTGACAAGGATTGTGGCAATGCCAGCGGTGGGTCCTGGCCACTGCGGCCACCCTCAGCTTGTCCTACCTGTGTCAAGCCTCTGCCGGGGTCCCCTCATCCCCCGTCCCGTTTCCACTCAAGTGTTCGGTGCCCAGGCTTTGCTGGTGTGTGGCAAAGCCTCAAGCTGCATCCAGGCACCCCCAGGGGCCAGTTACAGACTCGGTGACCCGAGGAGGGATGAGGAATCAGAACTTTGTGTGCCAGGCAGCAGAGACTGACCCCCCCTCCCCGTCATGATTAACCTGTGATTATTTCTCGTGAGGGATGTGAGCAGCTCTCCTGGGCTGTGTTCTCCTCCCACACAGGTCTAACTCAGGCAGGTTAGGACCCTGCAGGTATTTCTGGTGAAGAAGAATCCCTTTCCAGCAGTTCCTTTCTTCACCGTTCAAAATGTCCTGGAAACACCTTCAGGACAAGGCTTCTCAAATAAGGTGATGGCTTTTGGAACAGAATCGCAGCAAAACCCCCCGCACAGTGACCACCGCTGCTGCTTAAGCCAGGGTGGGGGGAACATAAACCTCCCCCCGTCCTCTCCCCCTGCTCCCTTTCCCCCTCTGAGCCCCGGGTGTCCCCGCTGCCAGGGTGGCAGATATGGCATCGGTGTCAAAACAAAACCAACTGAAGCTCTGGACAACGAAACGGCTGGAGGGAAGAGGGGAGCACCTGCGGCCAGGCGGGAGCCCCTCGAAATAATGCAACGAGCCCAAGCGTAAGCTGCTCTGGGGGTGTTTTTAAAGTCACTCTTCGGTGAGCAGGAGCGATACCCCAGCTGCGCCCGCGCGATGGGAGCGGGACGGCGACCCCGGGCAGCCTTACCTGCCGCTGCTCCCCGTCCCGCCGAGCACCCCGCTTTGCCGAGTCAGGACGGGTTGTGGGTGCTGGGTGTCCCTCCGCCGGCGTCAGGCTGAGCCGGTCATCGGCGGCGGTGACGGTGGCAAGGCCACGCTGGCTGGTGGCCCTGCGGCGGTGTCCGGGTTGCCCGCCGGACTCGCCGCCCGCCGGCTCCCACCCCGCTTTTATGGCCACCGAGTCTCCTCCTGCAGCGGGGCCCGGCTGCGCTCGGCGCCGCGGAGCCAATCGGGGTGAGGGATGCTGTGAATAATCAGCCCCGCAGCATCCTCGCCACCTCCCGAGCAGGCTCTCCCACTGTGCTGGGGCCCCCTCGCAGCCCCCCAGCCGCCCCGGGGACCGGGGTGCACGTCCCACCGCTGCACTGCCACCGGCTGCGTCCCTCGGGGACCCCCGTCGGGGCCAGCCTCGGTCCTCGGGGCTGAAACGCGTGTCCCAAACGCAGGAGATGGCAGCAGAGCGGGATGGGGTCCGTCTCCCCCCCCCCCCAAGCTGCGTGCCAGAGGAGTTTGGCCGTTGGGGCTGCGAATCCCCCCCGGGAACCAAATTAAAATCCTGCCTAAGAAGGAAGAGGGGGGCTGTGAAGCCCCCGATCCCCCCACCCCGCTCCCCAGGCTGGGGAGAAGCATTGTCCTTGTGGTGATGGGGAGAGGAGTGAGCCCACCCGAAGCTGCTGGGAAGGGCGAGAGGGTCTTCACACCCCAGGAAAGGCTGATGTGTGTCCCCCCCACCGTGGCCCACCCAGCCCGGCTGCAGTTGGGCAGCAACGCCCTCGCATGGAAACCCCCCACCTTCACTTTGACGGGGCTCAGACCCACCGGGCTTCCCCCCATCACCCTCTCCCCTGGGGACAAACCCAAAGGGATGAGCCAAAGGGGCAGGGGGAGCGGGGTGGGGGGACAGAGACCCCTCCCACACACCTTCCCTGCTCAGCTCCTGATTCCTATTCCTATTCCCTCCCTGATTTGAGGGTGGAGGGCAGCGCTGGGCAATACCAGAGCACCCCCCGAGCCCGTTCACCACCCTCCCCCTGCACTGTGTCACGACAGAGGTGGCCAGGGCCAGGGGGGGGGTCCAGGGTGCAGACCCCTGGGGCCAGGCCAGCCCGTCCTGTCCCCTGCAGCCCCGGCGGCTGCGAGCGCATCCCATGAGCTGCCGGCAGCGCAGCCCGTCCTCTCGCCTTGAAGACGGAGCTATTTTTATCGGAGCTCAAGAGGGATGTTTCCCAGCAACCTGCCTTCCTCCCCAGCTTGAACACCAGCTGCCGGACCCGGTGCCCCCTACTCAGCCCTCCTGGGGAGGGGCGCGGGGGCTACCGGCGCAGCCAGGACCCTTCACCGCGGGCAACCAGTAGCCACGGCTGGGCAAGCAGGGCAGCCTGTGCCCACTGCCCGTGGTCCCCCATCCCCAAGGCTGGTGGCTGCCTCCACTAGCACCCATGGTTGGGGTGCCAGGCTCTGCTCCCCGGAAAGCACGTGGGACCCCACAGCTTTTGCTTGGAGGTGGATTTTAGCTCGCCCGGGCTGGGGCTGGGCCAGCACGGAGCGACCAAGGGAGCAGGGCACGGAGTGGAGGGGAGAGGCAAGGGCAGAGCATCCTTCATCTCCCCAGGACAGGAGGAGATGTCCCCCACGGGACCCATCCCACAAGGTGGCAGCTCTGCCGTGGGGGGCACAGGCAGAAGGCAGCCAGGGCCCCCCCTCACTTCGGTGTGCTGGGCTGCCAGGCAGAGAACAAAGCCGAGAAGAACAAAATGCAGCTGCAAACCACCACAGACATCCTCGGCCAGGGGCTGCGGGTATCCCCGGGCAGGTTTAACCCTTGCTGCTGGGACTAGCGGTCCCGTGGGCACCACAGACGCGGTGGTGAGGAGCATTTCTTACAGCAAAACCATTATCTCTATCACCAAGCCCTCCCAAACCCACCAAACCCAGCCCTAAAGCCCGGCCTCCCCGGTTCGACCTGCCGTTAACGCAGGTAAACGGCTCCATCTGGGAGCCCCGTCTCTGGGTGAGAGCAACAGCATCACCCCAAAAACCAAAAGCAGACCCTCTTGCAGCAACCCCCCCCCCGGAGCCCAACGGCCCAGGGTGCAGCCACCTCCCTACATCGGGTAATTGCACCGGAGGGAGAAGCACTTCTGGAGATGGAGCAGACCCCACAGGCACAGAGAGAAAAATCGTTTGTAATAAGGTTCCTTCCTCAGGGCTGTTTCCCTTTGGTCCAGGAGGGAGGTCGAGTTACTCCTGTCCCCAGAGCAGAGTTGTCTTATTTCTTTACGTGTGCTCAGATATGTTGAGGTGGGTGAGAGGGTCCTCCCTGGGGCCGGTCATGGTCCGGGCAGGAGTTGGGGGGTGATAGGGTCCCCCTGAGAGAGGAGCTGAGAGCAAACCCACCCACCAGCAACTTTAATTAATATTCATCTGTCGCTTTCTAATGGGAAACTGTCTCTGAGTCACACTGACATTTCCCTGGGACAAGAGTAATTAAGCACCTGGGTAAGAGAAATGTACAGTAATAGAAAAGTTAAGTTTTCTTAACTACATGAGTGAAGAATGGGTTCGGCGAGGAGGGGGACGAGCGTGTGTACCAGGCTCCCGCGAAAGCAAGTGGGAGTTAATGGCAGTTAATGTCACACAACGCTGTCACCCTGCCCCGATGCCCCCAGCTCCACCCCCCCCCCCCCCCCCCCCCCAGAGCAGACAGGGCACCTCGAGGGTGTCTGATTTCCCATCCTGGGATGGGGTGAATCGTCCCCGCTGGCAAGACGAGCTCTGGCTGTCCCCAAGCACAGGGACTGCCACCCAGCGCTGCTGGCAGGAGCATCCCATAGGAAGGCGGTCGCTCTGCGGTGGCTCCTCCAGCACCATCAGCTTTATCCTGTTCACTGCAGGACGGGGCTTTTCCAGAAAGGGCTCTGTTGCTCGCTCACCCGCCTGGCCCTAACGCGATGCCAGGGTGGGCGCTGGCGTTTTTTGCAGGCAGACGTGGCCACGGGGCAGCAAGAGCTGCTGCGCTGCGGGGCGAGCGATGTGCCCGCCGTAATTTTTTGGGCCGCCGAGTAACCACAACATCTCCGCGGGGAGAACTGCAGTGGGGGGGTCGGCTCCCAACCGCCCGTGGGAGCAGATTCCGATCGACCAAGAGAAAACGCCAGCGGCTGCACCCGCAGGATCTGGAGGCAGATGCCCGGCAGAGCAGGGGGAGGTCACCGCTGCAGGGGACCGGGGGCCGATTCAGCCCCGGCCTGCGTCACGCCGCAGCGGCTCGGGGTCGCCGCGCAGCCCAGGTGGGCACACGTGCAGGGACGCAGTGACCTGCCTGGCGTGGGCAGGAGGGACAAGTGGCCACTCGACGCCGGTACAAAAGCGGAGCGCGTGTAAACACTGAGCGTCACCGCCGCTGCTGTCGTCCCCGGGCACCAGGAGCCCGGGGGGGGGGGGGCGGCTGCAGCACAGCCCCCCTCATCCCCCCAGCCAGGAGGTGAAGTGGCTCCATTTAAAAGCAAATCGAGTTCAAACCGCTCGCAGGAACCGCAGCCTGCGTCGTGCTGCCCCGTGGGTCAGCCCCACCGTGGGAGCCATCACCCACCCCGCAGGCCGCGCCCTTGGTGCTTGTGGCTCCGGGGGTCTCTGTCCGTCCCCCCCCCGGGGAGGTGGGGGGGGGGACACACACCAGTGTGACGCAGCCCCGTGTTGCTGCGGGCTGCGTGATCGCAGCAGCACATGCCTCAGAAGTGAGTCAAGAAACCAGTCATTTTTAGAGCTCCTCCGTAAACTGGCTCTGCAGATGCTCCTGACCGGCCGCAGATGCTCACATCACCCACGCGGGGGGCAGGAAAACACGGGGAGAAACGGCTGGGGAGAAAAAAACAAACCTGTTTCAGCGTTTAATTGCCATTCCCCCCCCGCCCCTCCCCGCACAAGCCCACGGGGAGCGGCACGGTGGCGTGCAAAACCCCGAACCCCGGGGGGCCATCGGCTGCCCAGCAGCCCAGCACCAGCATTAGACCCCCCCCGCGCCCCCCTGGGGTGGGTGGGTGCTCGTGAAGGCCCCGTCCCGGGGGGTGAAGAGCGGTTTGGGGATGGTGTTTCGGGCAGAGACCCCTGTGTGGGGTCACGACCACCCCACGCTACTTCCCCGCGGGAGCAACGGGACCAAACCAGCCCCGTGGGGAGCCAGGATCCAAGTCACGGGGGGGGGGTGCGGCCAGCCCGGGAATGGGGTATCCCGTATCCCCGGGGGGTTCCCACCGGGCCCCCGCCACCCCTCAGGGTCCCAGCATACGGCAGCCGCTATTTCCCGTCCCACGGGCACCCAGTGGGTGCCGCGCCGCCCCACACCAGCCTGTCGGGCACCCACAAAATTCGCGTTTCAACCAGCGCCCGCGCGGTCCCCGGTCCCCAGGGCGATTCCCCTCCGGTTTCTCAGCCGCTTTTCCCGGGGTGACCCCCCGGTGAGCCCCAGGAGCGGGGTGGGACCGATCCCGGCAGGATGAGTGCGGTGCTCCGGGGGGGGGGGGGTGTGTCTTCGGTGCACCGGGTCCCTCCTCGGGGGCCACCCCCCTCCCCGGCGCACCGGCCGTCCGGGTGGGGTGGGAGGGGGGAAACGGGTGGGGGGGGGGGGGGGCGGGTCCCCCCCGCCGTTACATAAGGGGTTACGTCAGGGCGCGCGGCCCCATTCCTATCCCGCCGCCGCTTCGCTCCGCCCCCCCCCACCCCACCCCCCCCACCCCCACCCCGCGCCCAAACCGGACCTCACCGCCGCGCCTCAGGTGAGCCCCGTGGGCCGAGCTCGCTCCGCCGTGTCCCGTCCCCCCCCCCCCCCCTCCAAAATCACCCCCCGGTGCCGTGTCCGGTGAGGCGGGAAAAGGATCGGCGCGGGGGGGGGGGACACGAGCCAGCCGCCCCGATGACCGGCTTGTTTACACCGGGGCGGCGCGTACCACGGGGGCGGGGGGGCTGGGCCGCCGCTCCGCCGCACACCCCCCCCCCACCCCCGCCGCGCTGAGGCGCGCTGGCGGCGCGGCGCCCCGGTTACCGAGCAGGGCGCGGAGGTGCGGGGCCAATCGCTACCGACACACGCCCCGCCGTTGGGGAAAACGCGGGTCCCACCCCCCAAACACAGACACACACACACATACACACACACACACACAGACCCCACCACCCCCCCCCCCCACCGCCGTTGTGGTTCACCCCGCGCCGCCGCGATTGGCCGAGCGCTTAAAGGGGCAGGCAGGGCGCGCTTTTCCGCCCTCCGACGCGGCGGCGTGCGCTCCGTTACCGGCGCGGAGCTGCCGGGGGGCCGGTGGGGCCGCCACCCCCCCCGTCCCCCTTCATGGAGGCGGCGGACGGCGCCCGCCGCGGGACACAAAGGGCGACGCGGCGGCGGCGGGCAGCGCGGCGGGGCCCCATGGCGGCGGCGGGCGGCGGCGGCGGCGGCGGGGCTCCTCGGTACCGCCTGTTAGCCGAGATCGGCCGCGGGGCCTACGGCGTGGTGTACGAAGCGGTGTCGGGCCGCAGCGGCGCCCGGTTGGCGGTGAAACGGATCCGTTGCGACGCCCCGGAGAACGTGGAGCTGGCGCTGGCGGAGTTCTGGGCCCTGACGAGCCTCCGGCGGCAGCACCCCAACGTGGTGCGCTTCGAGGAGTGCGTCCTGCAGCGGCACGGCCTGGGGCAGCCCATGAGCCACGGCAACAAGCGCAGCCAGCTCTACCTGCGCCTCGTCGAGACCTCCCTCAAAGGTACCCGACACCCGCTTCCCTACACCCCCGGGTTTTGGCACCCCGGGTCTGCCCCCACACACCCCACCCCCCCCCCCCGCTGTCCTCCATACCCCCGCAGCAGGGTCACCTCGGGGATACCCCCCCACCCCGGTGTCACCCGCTTTCCCCTAATCTCCGGCATTTGGGGCATCTTTCCCAGACACCCCCACCCTGAGCAACCCCCTTCCCCCCCCATCACCCCGTTGCTCAAATCCCTCCTTGGCATCACCTCCTCTCAGAAGAGCACTCGAAGCTCCCCCCCCCCTGTTGCAACACCTCTCCCTTTGCCTCAACTCACCACTTTGTCAGTATAACCACCCCCCGGGCTCCCCCCCGCTGCACCCCAGGTCGCCTCGGTCTCCTCAATCACCCCTGCCAGCCCTGGGGTCCCTCTGCTCTGCAGCGGTACCTGCCCCAAGCTTGCTCCCCTCTGCTCTCACCTCAGTCCTATCTCTGCAGGGCTCCCCACAGGGTCCTTCTGCTGCCCCCAGCACCCCTCTTTGCTGCCACCCACCCCCTGGGACCCCTGTCCTGGTCCCTGTCCCCTGCTGTGACCTTGGGCTCTGCCTGTGTGTCCCTTCCACTCTCCCTCTTCCTCTGTGTGCCGCTCCCAGGGACACCCTTCCCTGTGCCCTGCCCGTGGGGTCCCTCCTTGTGCCCTGCACCTCTGCAGCACCCCAGCCCTCTGCCCCTCCTCCTGAGGGACCCCGTTGTCACCTCCAGGCTCAGACCCAGTCCTGGGGAGCATCCCTGTGTGCTGCCCTCAGCCCTTCCCTGCACCTCCTGCCAGCGCTTCCCTCTTCCGCCATTACACCCCCTCCTGGGGCTCCCTCCGCTACCCCGACCTGTACCACAGCCCACGCACGTCCCTCGGGGACCTTCACTGGTCTCTTCCCAGTCACACCAAGGGGACATCTCCCCCCTCTCTCTGCTCATCTCCTCGGAGCACCCCAAGGCTGCAGCCTGTTACAGTGCCCTGCCTGCTCCCTCGAGCTCTTCACCTTTGGGACTGTTCCTTGTGCTCTCCTGTCCCTGTTCCCCCCCCCCCCCCCCCATGCTGGCTTTGTGGGGACAACCCTGGAAGTACCTGGGCTGACATCCCCATCTTCCCCTGGGGTCCCTCAGCAGCATCATGGGACTGTCGGGGGTCACCTTCTCCTGCCACAGTTGATGACTGTGATGGTGACATCTCCAAAATGCTTCCTCCCTCCCTCTGCTCCCTTGGCTGCTTGTCAGACCCAGCTCTGCCAATGTGAAGACGTGGAAAATTACCGGAGCCCTGTATCCTCAATGCCCCCATTCCCCCCAGCCCGCTGCAGCCTGAGTGAGCTCACCCCAACCCCTCCCTTCCCCAAACTTGTTTGCCAGGACTCCTATACGCTCCTTGGGGAGCTCAATCTCCCCATGCTCCCCCCAGCTGACCCCCCCCCCAGCGTAGGCAATCTCCCTGTGTCAGGCAGACTTCTTGCAAGGCTGCCGAGACCCATCCTCTGTCCACACCTCTGGATCTGACTGCCCCTGCCTTGCCTGTCCCCTCCGTCCTCCTGGGGGGACATGTCCAGACCTGATCCTGCTCTCCCTTCACACAACCACCCAAGGGAGTCTCCCCAAGAAGGGCAGTGTCCTAATTTCTGTATAGCCTTGGTGCTTCCTTTACGTGTTCTTGCAGACGTGACTCCATGGGAGAGGAGCCAACTCTTCCCTTCAGGTGTGTGTCCAGCTGTGGCAACTCAAGCTCTTTGCTGGCAGCTACAGGGGCTTCCTGCCCCCTCTTTGTCAGGTTGCACACTCCAGGAAGAGGTGGCATGGCTTGGGAAAAGCTCCTGGGTAGCTCTGGGTGCTCCCCATCTCTAGGTGGGGAGAGACCCCCCTGACTTCCCTGCTTGGGGTGAGGGAGGAGCTTTGCCTGCCCTGGTGCTGCTGCAGCCCCCCAAAGAGGGGGAGCAGAGCTGGGCTCTCCATCCCAGGGCTGGAGAGTAGCAGTTTCACACCCCAAACCAGAGTGCATTCTGCCCTCCATCTGCCTTCCTCCTGACTGCCCCCCGGGCTGTGCTGGCCCCAGGCTGTGGTCGCTGCCTTCCCAAGCTTTGGGTCTGATACAACACGGATAAATATTTTCAAAACAAAAGATGGAGCTAGATGAGCCCTCCCGGGTTTGCTTGCTCTCCTTCCGTGTCCGCAGCGTGTGGAGCTCCGGCCGTAGCTGTGCTGCTGTGCCATTCTGCACGACCGCAGCTGGGCTATTTACGGGCCTGCACAGATGCTGTGTGCCAGTGCGCCAGGGCTCAGGGCACGGGGAGGGGATTAGTCACAGACTTTCTGAATTGGGAACACAACTGTCAGGATACCAGGAGATGCCGGGTCTCGGCTACGGCGCGGAGCCTGCACCTTCATCGTTTTAACGAGATGTGGAATAGTAAATTCAAGGGCAGAGTGCAAAAAGGAAGCGGGAAGCCTGGCACTGAGCCTGGAGGAGAGACGTGTACTTAAGCAACGTGCCCCTCTTGTTCCTAACCCCTAGCTGTGATAGAGCTGCCTTAAGTGAACAGGTAGAGGGTGTTGCTTCCTCACGTGTCACCCGTGGGGCCACCGACTCGCCGCTGGTGCTTGGCCATGTTCTCGGGCTGCCCTGGCATCGCCCACGCCTGTTACCATCAGTCCGAGCACCCGGGCTTTGTGCCGCCTGCTCTCATCTCTCCAGCACAGCCTCTTTGCACAGAGGGAGTCAGAGGTTACACACAGTGGTGGGGTGTGGGATGCTGGTTCTGCTATCATTAGAAATTTTTTTTTTTTTTTTTTTTCCTCCCCGTGATGCTAAGCAAATTAACAAGCTGTTTAATGAGCTCCCAGGATAGGTCGGGGTAGGGGGGGGCCAGTGCAGGGATGGAGAGGTTAGCGTGTGCCATCCTGTGTTTGGGCAGGGAGCGTGCGGAGATGCTCGCTTCGTGATGGAGAGCAGGTCTGGCCTGTCATCTGCATCTCTTCAGCTCTTGGCTGCTTGACTTCAGTTTGCTGACATCTCGTCTTTAGGAAGCGGCTTGCCAGCTCTTTATGTTTAAAGCTGTTTGTTTTGAAGGCAGGAAGATGATTTAACAACTAAAACACTTTCAGATTATAGAAAGAAAATGAGGAAATACTACTCTTGGCTTAAGCCTCTCCTAGCAGCGCTCCACCCAAAGTGAAGTGCATGGTGCTTGCAGCTACTTCGGGGTCAGCAGTGTCCTCCCTGCGCTTGCTGAGGTTCAGGGGCCAGGTTTTAAATCGGAGCCTTTGTTATGGTGAAAACAAACCTTGGGGTGTTGGAGCCGGCAGGTCCTGGCTGCTGGGGAGCTGGTGTTCGAGCCGCCTCGCTGCGGGAAGGGGCTGCCGGCAGCGCTGCCGTGTGAATGCTCTCACCCTCCCGGCCGTGTGCGATGGGCGCGGGGCTCTGCCGGGCTCCCCCCGCCGTGGTGCGGGTCCTGCCTGAGAAAGAGCCCGACCCTCCCGGCTCCCCACGCTGGGGCTGTATGGCTGCTGAGGGGAGCAGGAAAGCAAAGCCCCCCCGTGCCCTGCTGCGGCGTCGCTGGGGTTTCGGCGAACCCGAGGTGGCGGCAGCGGGGCGAGCTGGGGTGTCGTGCTGTCACACTCGTCGCCCCAAAGGGCGGCTCGCACCAGAGGAGCTGCTTTTCCCTGTCAGTGTTTGGGTTTCCAGAGCCAAGCTGTCCTGTGCTGCTCCCTTTTGGCCCTTGGATTTGCGTGCTGAGCCCCGCTCCAGCACTTTGGGGCGTCTCATTTGACCCCCAGACTGCACCCAGAGCCCTATATCTCCAGCCTGTTCATGGTCCCTCCCATCCCCCAGACCTAACCTTCGTCTTCTGCCGAGGGCAGGGAGGTGCAGCCAAATCCTTCTGTTGTGCAGACTTCCATTTCCATAGCAGTAGCCGTGGATACAGACTGTTTGTGCAAATAACCAATATTCCCACCCACACCAGTCACTGACCATCGCAGGCACGGGCGCCAGGCAGCCCAGGGCTCCGTGTCCCTGGTAGTCCTTGGCTTTACCTGCTGCTGGAAGTTTGCATTCCCAGATGCTCTCCAGGGCTTTGCTAAAACAAAACCCAACTTTGTCAAATGGGTGGAGTTCCTTAACTGCTTTCAAAACACTCGGGAATCGTCTGTGTGACTCGTTAACTGTGGCAGAAAGAGTGGTGTCCTCCAGCTTCTCCCTTACGGTGCTTGAGGATAAAAAAAAAAAAGCCTAGTTGTTAAAGCAAAATGATGCCCCGGTTGTGTGTGCAGGCTCTGTCTGTCACCTGGGTGCTCTGTGCAGGTGATGTGGGGTCTGGCAGCAGGATTTGCATCCTGGAATTGGCTAACGGGCCAGGTCTGGTGCCAGGGCATCCTGGCATTGGCTCTTGCAGCTTGAAGAGCTCAGTGAGATGTCTGGTGAAGGAGGAAGCTGTTTGGGGCACAATATTGAGTAGCAGCACTAACAAGCAAGGCAACAGTTATATTTGTAAACATGGCTGAGATTGCACTTAAAAGTTTGGTTATTTGGGCTTCCAGTTTCCTCTCTTGAAAGACTTGTTGGCACTTAATGAAAGCTGTATGAAGTGGCAGAGCTCCCCTAGCACAAACACAATGCTTAAATGCACAAATTTAGTCTGAGAAGAGCCAGTGTGCTGCAAGGCTCTGACACTGGTGTGGCAGCTTTTAGTGAAGCTGTATTGGCACGGTGCTAAGGGGTGTGATTTAATCCCCACTTGCAGTTATACTAGTAAAGCGTAAGGTACAAGCCAGCCTTTGCCTCCTGCAGCAGAGCTCGAGTGGGAGAGCTGTCGTTCACATAGAACTGATTTTTTTTTTTTTTTTTTTTTTTTCCCCCCCATAGACTCACTGCTAATTGTGCTTTTAGTCTCTGCTGCTTTGGCTGCCAGAGCCTGGGGAGAATTGCCTGCTGGTAGCGCAGGAAAATAACCCTCTGCTTCCGAGTTCCCCGCAAGCACTCGAGAAGACGTGTGCTCAGTCTCACTCGCACGCCTGCGCTTTGCTGGGAACAGGTCCCTGAGCTGGCTCCCCGGCAGTGAGCTCAGATAACCGGGGTGCTGGTGCCTGGAATTCAACGGGATCCTAAAGCATTTGAAGCCACAGCAGTGCCAGCATCACTGCTGGTACCCTGTGGTGCGACAGGTCTCAGTCACATCCCTTAGGCTTTTACTGCCTGCATAAACCAGACCCGGCCCTTGCCTGCGCTGAGTCAGTGTGGACATTTTGTAATTTATCTGAAAAAAGCCACTCTTGCTTTTGTCCCTTTCGGTTAGGTGAGAGGATCCTGGGCTACGCGGAGGAGCCTTGCTACCTCTGGTTCGTCATGGAGTTCTGCGAAGGGGGAGACCTCAACCAGTACGTGCTCTCGCGAAGACCCAACCCAGCGACAAACAAGAGCTTCATGCTGCAGCTGACCAGCGCCATTGCCTTCCTGCACAAGAACCACATTGTCCACCGGGACCTGAAACCAGACAACATCCTGATAACCGAGAAGTCTGGCACCCCAGTTCTCAAGGTGGCCGACTTTGGGCTGAGTAAGGTCTGCGCTGGCCTGACTGCTCGGGGCAAGGAGGGTGGGCACGAGAACAAAAATGTGAATGTGAACAAATACTGGCTGTCTTCGGCTTGCGGCTCTGATTTCTACATGGCGCCCGAGGTCTGGGAGGGACACTACACCGCCAAGGCTGACATCTTTGCCCTTGGCATCATCATCTGGGCCATGATTGAGAGGATAACTTTCATCGACGCGGAGACCAAGAAGGAGCTGCTGGGGACCTACGTCAAGCAGGGGACTGAGATTGTGCCTGTTGGAGAAGCACTGCTAGAAAACCCAAAGATGGAGCTGCACATCCCTCAGAAACGCAGGACTTCCATGTCTGAGGGGATCAAGCAGCTCTTGAAAGACATGTTGGCTGCTAACCCGCAGGATCGACCTGATGCCTTTGAGCTTGAAACCAGAATGGACCAGGTTACATGTGCTGCTTAAATTCAGGGCAGGGCACCGCTGTGCTTTGCAGCTGGGTAAGTGATCCACAGTTTTTGTATTATTCTGTCTGCTGTACCAGCCTGATAATGCACTTTGTAGTGACACAAAGGAGTCTTTTATGTCTTTTCCAGCACTATTTCTGTAGTGACTCATCAGAGTGCTGCTTCTGAGTTTTGATTTGGTTGTGGTTTTTTTTTTTTTTTTTTTTTTTTTTTATACCTATTCTACTGCTAAACTAAAGTAGAGATGGGAAACAGAATTAGCAGGTGCACATCCCACTGCTGCCCAAAGGCCCAGTGGATCTGGCAGGGCTGGGCAGGAGCCCTGCTCCTTGGAGGTCCTGGCCAGTGGCTGGGACAGGCAGAGACCCCCACGAGCGCCCTCTGACATCAGCTTGAGTATGTCTGCCTGTCCCAGGGGTAGGGAAAAGAGCTGCCAGTTTTTCCTGCTGTATAATTTCTGCGGTCAGTGCTGGCAGCACCTCGCTGTCTAGCACAGTCCCCTTCCCCTCTGAGGCTGACAGGACACCTCGGGGCTCAGCGAGCAGGTACCGAGTGGCAGGTCCATCTCAGCACAAAGCTGTTCCCTCAGCTTTCACCTACGAGGCATGTGGGTCCGTTTCGTTTCCTCACTAAAGACAAGACTTCCCTTTGGTGTGAACTGCAGCAGCCCAGACCTGGTAGGATGCTTTGGTCTCCAGCCTGAGTTTGTAGACCTGTGTCAGCTCAGGAAGGAAGCCTACAAAACAGTTGTGCTCAGGCTGAGCCCAGCTTCATTCAAGCAGAGACCTCTCCCTTCTTCCGCCACGTTGGTTCCTAAATAGTCCCAGGTTTAGAGGTCCTGAGGCCTGGGTGGTCACACGTGGTCTGGAAGGACCCCCAGGGACATGGGGTAGCTGGCAGTGTCATTAACCAGTGACTCTGAAGGACTGGGAGGTGTTGCCTGCATGACAAAGCTGTCTGTAAACAGGAGCTGTTACCAGGGATTCTCCCAGCCAAACACTTCAATGAAAATGAAAAATTACAGATTACAAGGGGTGAGGCTGATGACTTCCCAGGCCAGGTTCTTTCTCAAGCTCTGGCAGAGCTGCCTGACCATTGCTGGTCCCAGGAGAGCTCTGAAAGCCTGCTTGTGTCGGGTGCTGGTATTGCAGCTTGGGCTCCCAGCCCTTCCCTCACCCCAAAACTGCACAGATCCTGCTGGACCAGCGCAGACTGCAGGTACAAGAGAGAGAAGAGGGATGAGATGGCTGCCCTAGACAGCAAACACCCAGCCTTCAGCCTTGCAGCCGATGGCTGTGTGCCTGGCCTGCTCCTGAGAGCCTCCAGCAGCAGAGTGCAGGGGAAGGTGGGGGCATTTTGGCAGGTTTTGCTAAAAAAACAAAAAAACAACAACAACAACAACAAAAAAAAAAAAAAAAAAAAAACAAAACCAAAACCCTCCTCACTGCCCACCTGAGGGTTTCTGAGTAAAGAGCTGTGCTGCCCATCCCCTCTCTGTGTGTGCCCAGGTGTAAGCTTTGTGCTGTTTGCAGAGAAATGGGATGATAGAAATGGAAAGAAAGGCCCATGGGGTAGGTCTAGTGTCGTCACTGCTGGTTTGTCCAAACTGGTGCACAGACAATCCCCTCTGCACCCCAGCGCAAAATATTTAATGGCCTTAAGATCTCTAGCTCAAGTAATCGATGTGACTGCTCCCACCTTGGCCTGGGGCTCCTTACTGGTCCCAGTGCAAGTGTGGGCTGGGGATTAGGGTGGGGGGATGAATCTGCAGTTTGGTGTAATAAAGTCCTGGGGCAAAAGCAGGGCACCCCACATGGTGCCCCAGGGCGAGGTGTGGGTCTCATTGTGGTGGGAGCAGCTCTGCTGCGTGGCTGAGGGTCGGGTGGGGGGTTTGGTTGGGGTGGCAGAGGGTCCGGTCTGGGGTTTTTTTGGGGTTTGCTGCTGTCATTGCCATCTGTGATCTCTCTATGCTGACGCGATGCTGCTGAGTTATGCAACCAGCCCGTGCCCTCCGGGGAAAATTCATCCTGTGCATATCTGCAGAATGGTACATGCAGAGATAACAAACACCGAGGGGACAGTCCTACCCTGGGGGTGTTTGCTTAAAACCCAGCTGCCTTCTGCAACCCGCCCCCCCTCCATCCAGAGCCAGCTGTGAGCCTGCACTGATCAGCTCCGTTAGTGACGCAGCTGCAGCAGAGATGGATGCCCTTACATAATGCAGCCTGGCATACATTGCGTGGCTGCTTGGCCCAGATAGGAGCCCGGCGCCAGCCATATGTTCGCTGCAAACCCAGAGCATTTGTGTTGTGGGGATTGTTTATGGGGCAGCAGAATATTTGGTCTGCTTTCCTGGAGGGTTTTTCTAATGCGTCGTGTATTCGTGCATTCGAATCGGTCTACCTCTGGCTGTTATTAAAGGCAAATCTCAAATCGGAGACCCGCTTGAGAAGCTTAAAATGGGATTTAGAGCAAGGTCTGAATTCTGCTCTCAGGTAATTTAAGTTGACCAAGAAACTCAGGTAACCTCTTCCTACTTAATTGTGGCACTGGCGTGTAGCTTATAGTGCTGCTGGGTCATGCAGTGAGTTGTTCTTCCCCAGGACAGCTTCAGACTCTCCTCAGCCTTGGTTCATGTTGTAACCTGGAAAACTGTAACCCTCCCTGACCCAGGCAATCAGTTTTTTGCTTATTCTTTGGTATGCCACTGACCTCTTCCAGTTTTGCTTCATGTCCCAGCAGTTTTGCCTTTAGTTCTGCTACAGACGCTGAACGCACCTGCCAGTCAGCAGGCTTCATGCTCTGTTACCCTTCCAAAATGGAGATATTAAATGCCAGTTCTCAGCCAGGAAAGTGTTTCTGGCTCGGTTTCTGTGGGACACCCGGGGTGTTGGGGTGGGGATGAGCCTGCATATTTCCTTGCTCGCCTCCCCAGGGCTGCTGGTGGCCCCGGGGCGGTAGGTCCATCAGAGGTGGGCAGCATTTCTGTGGGCAAAAGGAGTCTTGTCATATTGGGATGCCGCGCTGCTTTCTGGAAGCAGTTTGTCTAAAGCCCGAGATTGCTGTTCCTCCAAGGGTATGCACTTTGGGCAAAGAGGACAAAAGCCTTTCTAATACAATTAGGGAGTAGCTGGATTGTGCTGGGTACCTGCTGATGGTCTCTTGATTGCCATATGATAGCCCAGCGCTGACTGCACCCTCATTAAGGAGCACTTCACCCCTCCTTATCTGTGCTGGCAGGCTGAGGCCTCTCTCCTCTTTTCCTGCACTGTGAACATCTTTTTCTTTGCACATCTTTCCTCAGAGTTCCCCAGGGCAGGCGAAGACACTGCTTCAGTGGGACCCTCTAATATTTCAGTGTGGATTGAGCAGCCCTTAGACAAGTTGCTGAGGGTGAGGTAGAGAGAGAGCGTGTGGCTGTTTGCGGCTTGCTGGAGTGGCACCAGTGGTCCTGGCCACAGAAACAAGGGGAGCAAGTGGCAGCATCACCCGCCACCTACGGTTCTATATTTAAGAAACTTTGTCGTTTTAATTCACATAGGGCAGCGGTCGTGGTCAGTGTAGAAGGCAGCTTGTTCTGGTAGATCATATTCCGTGATATTTTTCACTGTGGATAAAACAGTAGGTCTGATTTTTGGGGTGGATGCTCAAGGTGACTGGCAGGGATGCGTGTGTGCGGTGTGGTGCAGACTGCAGCACCTCCGGGGCTGCCTTGACAGCCCAGGCCAGCCTGGGTCACTCCAGCACTCCTCCTCCTGTCCCTGGTTTTGATCGTTCCAGTTTCAGCCTGAAAGTAACCCTTTGCATTTGCGTTGTTCTCCTCTTTGCGTTTTCAAAGTGAACAAGCTCATCTCTGGCTGCATGATGGTGCCCGTCCCCGGCGAGCGCTCCCTGGGGCTGTGCCCAGCCGCTCCCCAGCACTGCTAATAAACTGCTGTCCTACAGAATTTCGGGGGTCGGACGCACACCAGCAGCACCTCTGCAAGCTGTCGGTGAGCAGGGCCGTTGCATCGAGTTAGGTCTTGTCCGTTCATACCACTCGACTCAGGTTTTACCATGTGGTGAAAGTGCCCTGACCCCGCTGGCCAGGAACAGGCGAGCAAGTCAAGGAAAAGGATAGCGGTTTCCTTTCTGAAACCATGTTGGTTTTCACTTCAGACTCTTGTCGGCGTGGTTTGTGAATCTCGGCATGGACAAAAGCCACGGGACAGGAAAAGCAAGGTCAGTTCCTTTTCTTGGCCGTAGCAGCGGGCGCAGCATCGCAGGGTCACCCCGCGGAGTGGTGACGGCGCCTTTTTGGGCAGCGCTGATTCTACCTGGGGAGGAGCGGAGCCCTGAGGATGATGTGGATCGTGTCACCTCTGGCCAGATGTGTTTGCATTTGCTCACCGTCACCCCCGCTCTCCCTCCTGGGGGAGGCCGCTGCGGTTGGGTTTAAGGAAGCGCCCGAGGAGCGCGTCACAAAGATATGTACAGAGCATGAGGAAGAATTTAGGAGATAACACAGGCCCTCGGCCCCCTTCCCTTGTACCCTGTGTTCCCACACAGGGGTAGAGAATGGGATTAACACGAGAAGGTGCTGGGTTATCTCCCTCCCCTGCGCGGAGTCCTCTGCTACCACACAGACCACATTGCCACCCCCCATCTCTGCCGTGACCTGTGCATGAGTGTCATCTTCCCTAGGTGCTGGGCGAGGACTCCACGGGCCGCTGGCTCATATCCTGCTAATGCCGAATGAACGTTTTGAGCTGATTAAAGCTATAAGTGGCATCAGTGGAGGGATTAAAAGCTCTCGAACAAGCCCCTGAAACAATGTGCGTCAACGGAGTGAGCTCTCCTGTCTGAGCTGTGAGCTCGGGGCTGCTCAAGCAAGCGCCTTCCCTGGAAATGCTCCTGCTCTAGGGAACCATGAGCAGAAACGCTGCCCTACTTGCTAATGAAGCTGCACCACAGGAGAAATCTTCCAGAAAATTCCTGGCGTGATTGCCCGTGACCTGATGTCCGGGTGCCTCTTGCAAGCCTGCCTTCTCAAACAGAAATTTTTTTTTTTTTTTTCCCTGATTGCAGCCTGTGAAAGGCGGCATGTCCTGGTTAACCTCTCCTGAAAAACAGCATGACCATGGTCCTGGCTTCTGCTCCGGGCAGCAGAGGCAGCCTTTTCCTTTAGAAATGTGTTCCTCAGGCACGGATTTCTTCAGTGAGGTTTCCTAGGGCGAAGGGATTTGAGTAACTTGCTGGGCAGTGGCAGTTTTTCTTCAGCAGGTCTCTCCCGCTGCTCCGTCGCTGTCACTCGGTGTCTCTGCAGAGCCCCTTGCTTGTTCCCCGGGGGGGGGGACACAACCCAGCTGTACCCCTCAGCGTGGATCTGCCCCTGCTGAAGTTGAGGGGCTAAATCCACCCACCTCACCCTGATTTTTTTCTGTGTGACTGAGCTCAGAGTTTAAGATTGGGGAAAAATTAAACTGCTAGAGAACTACCACCTGTGCGTAGCATGAGGGGCGGCAAAGTGAAGCAGGGCCCTCCCCTTGGGTTGGAGGTTTGCCTGCGTTTTGGTGACCTCCAGCCCCGTCCCCTGCAGAGCTGGCAGCAGGGGGGGGGGAGACCCTCGGGTCCCTCCATCGGGCAGGTGCGTCCCAGCTTTCGCCACCATCACCACCACTTCCCAGCGCAGCCCCTGGCCTCAGCTCTGCTGGTCCCTCCTCTGGAGGTTGTGACATTCGCGGGGATAGATTTCCCGTAGAGCAGTGACCTCACGTGCACGTGTGCTGTTCCTCGGCCCCGCTGCTGGATGGGACGTCCCCAGGTTAATTTGCTGGGTTGCAAACAAACTGGGTGGAAAATGCTGGCGGCTTACGTACAGAGTTGAGCATTTCTGTGTCCCTGAGCAAAGGGTGTGTGTGGGGGGGTGTTTGTGTGTGCAGTGCCAGGGCTGTGGATGAATGGGTGCAGCGCCCTTGGTGCTACAGGACCCAGGGGGGGATGCTGTGCCCCGGGGCTTTGGCCAGAGCAGGGACTGGCGCCGCAAAAACCTGCTTGTTTTTCCCAAAAAATCCCTGGTCCCGAGCATCCTCGTGGGCAGCCGCGCTGCGAACCCAGCCTGCTCTCTCTTCAGTTGCACCAGAATGGGTTTTAACCGCCTCTTGCAGAGCCACTCGAGAAGCCGGAGGCGCTTGCTGGCACGCGGGGGCGAGCGGTGCGGGGTGTCCCCGGTGACACGGCTTGTTCCACCTTTCCCGGTGAAGGAGCCGGCGAGCGCATCACGTGGAGGGAGCCTGGAGGCTGGGCTCTGCCGCCCGCGTGTCCTTGTTCCAGCCGGGCCCCACGCCGAGCCCCCCACGCCGTGGGGCCGGGTCGTGGGCGCGTTCGGACCTCGGCAGCGTGCGCCTGTGCGGGGCTGGCTGAACCGCTCCCGAGAGAGAAACCACTGGGAACTGAGCCCAGAGCCCCGGTGCCCGGATGGATCGCGAAAGTAGAGGGAGGTGGCAACACCCATCTGGGACTAACTGGGACCAGCGGGGAGGCTGGGGGGGGTGTGGGTGCCCCCTCTGCAGCGGGGCACCCTTCCGTCCATCTCCAGCACCAACCCAGTTGTGATCGCACCTTCCACCCCGTGCAGGCTGTTCCCAGTCGTTAGCTGGGGCTGTGTAACAAGAAGGCGGGCGCTCATCTCCTTCTCCCAGACCCTCAAATGATGCTTTAATTAAGGCTGGGGGCTGAAAGGCGAGGCGCAGGGAGCGCACCGAACCAGCCGTCCTGCTTGCTTTGCCTACCTGCAGTCTGGCTCGCGTGGCAGCGGGAGGGCTGGCAGGGCATTGTCACAGTGACAAAACCGCTGACATACCTGACCTCTCTTTCTTGTTTTTCTTGCAGGTTTATTTACCAGGGACCCATAATCACCATTATTTACGTGCAACGAAGGAAGTCAAAGATAAGGGAAGATGATGATACAGAAGATCCCTGGTCTGCAGGATCTCTGGCAATGTGAAATCTTTTGGGTGTTAACTTTTTGCTGGGAGGGGGTGTTCTGGGGGTGCGGGAGGGAGCTGCGGGGGCCTGTGGAAGAGCACAGGCTGGCAGCTATCGTGCTCATGAGACTTCTAAACAAGATCCAGACAACAAAGCTGCCCCTGCCCAGCCCTCCCCGTGTCTCCGGTGCTGCCATTGACTCAGCAGATGTTTCTGGAGAAGATCTGGTTCCATAAGGAGATGGGAATTGGCAGCCTGGCGGCGAGGTGTGCTGCCAGGCACCTGCTCTGAGTCCGGCTGGGCACCACTTTGGGTTTAAAGTTATTGCTTTTGTCTAGGGGAAACGGGAGCAAAATGATTGCTAGGTTTACACCAGGAGTGCAATGCTTTAGAAAAAGTGAGTCTTTCAGACCACGTGTTGCAAGCAGCTAAATGATTTCACAGCCAGGCAGCTTCTGGATAGGTGGATGCTGCCCCGGCTGTGAGCAGTTGACATTAGGATAGAGGAGCATAAACAAGGTGGAAAGCCTTTTGGCAAAGCAGGTCTGCTGCTACCATGGGCAGACCTTTGTTTTCCCTGAGCTGGATTTCACCAGTGGCATTTGTTATGGTCTTTCTATACAGAGGGCAATGGGGAGTCTGTAGGTACGTTTTCAGGTGGATATCGTAAAAAAAAAAAACAAAAAACCAAACAACAGAAAGCAGTCCACTACTCTGAACCATTTAATGGCAAACTTCAGCTGGTAGGAACAATACTTGGGAGAGGAGGCAGTTTGGCCTAAATGGCTCACAGGCTGGACTGTAGCCTCCCGCAAAACACTTTTCCCTGCTAGATAACTATCCCCAGGAAGCAAAAGGCAATGCTGCTGTTTCAGTTTGGTTACAGTACAGCTCAGGTGAGGAGATTAGAACCTCAGGCTAAACAGTTAATACTCAATTTCCTTGCCTGTAGCTAGAACAACACTAATATTCTGTGTCTGAACCCGTGTTGTTGGTCTTCAGGCTTTGCTCACTGTAAATGCAATGTAAAGCACCACCTCTTCTCCACCCTGCAGGTTCTGAACCGCCTAAACCACTTCTCCCCGGGCTAAATCACCCGGCAGCGGTTTGGGGAGCGGGCTGGTCTGACCCGGCGTCGCTCCCGAGCTGCCCAAGTGCTCGGGGCTGGCCGGGGCCACGGGGGACAAGAGGGTCCCCGCGACCCGCTCGGCCCTGGCTGTGGGAGCTGCTCCTGGCTCCCCTGTCACCACTGGCAGGTTCCTGAACTGGCAGCACCTCCTTGTATCAGTGTTGTACCTTGCTGACCTCACGGGAATGAATGGAAACGCAGGAAATTCAGGTGGGCTAAGGCAGAGCTAAAGCAGGGGAAGGAAGGAGGGCTTTCTTTTTTTTCTCTTCCACCTATTCCAGGCCCCAAAGCTAAGGCTGTCGCTGCAGGAAGGCCAGGTCCCTCTTAGGAGGATGATGCCAGGAGGCTCCAGACCATCTGTCTGTGACTTGCGAAGGTTTGGACGGCACAAATTCAGCGCCAAGCCCCCCCCCCCCGTTCCCTCAGTGCTCTTCTGGTTGTTCGCAGGGATATTTCTGTGGGCTGCAGCCAGACCAGGGCTGCCCTGGGCTCCCTCCAGGCTGGTTACCGGGGTTTGAGCGGTTTGGGGTTGGTTAGCAGGCGCCGTGCTGGGCCCTGGCTGCAAGAGCACTCTTGGGGGGGCTTTGCGCGGTGCTTTGGCTGCTCTTGTTGCTCTCGAAGGAGCAGCAGATCCCTGCGGCGGCCGTGCCGAGGAGCTGCCGGGGGGGGGTTTCTCCCCCCAGCTCCCGGGGAGGGCTCGCAGAGCCCCGCAGCAGGGCTGTGCTGAGAGCTGAACCCTGTAGTAGTTCACAAGCGCAACGTTAGCGCCCCGATCACTGGGTCGTGCTGCTTCTCCACCTGACAGAGCCTTTGCTCCCGACTGTTACAGCTGTTAGAACCTAACCCTGGCTTGAAGAGGGGTGCAGTAAGAGGGCTTTACCTCCCCCCCCCCCCACCCCAGCCTTGCTCAGGGAGTTCTCCCTGCTGGAAGGCCCCTCCCCAGGCATCACATCCCGCTTGAAGGGAGGTTTCCATGTGTGGAAACCTAAGCCTGGAACGCAGGAGGTGGAAGGGGGTGAGTGGGTTGCTCACGGGGGCAGCTGCCAGCACCCTGCTCCTCCCTGGGGACAGGATTGAGCTGGGCATGCAGCGGCCAGGCGGGCCCTGGGAGGGTCAACCCCCTTGGTCCACCACTCTTCCAGGCCATCTTCAAACCACACGGCTCCACCTCAGCTTTTTCGTTGCAGATGTGTTGTTAAAGCAGCTTGATGTTAGCGAGCTAGACCGTAGTGCCTTACTTAGGATTTAGCAAACGCCCCCAAGGACAAGTCCTAGGGCTGCCAGCCTTCGGCCAGTGTGGATGTTTCCCTGATTAGTTTGTCCTTTTAAGAGCATGATGATTTTGCTGCTGTTTGTGCTCGGCTCCCCAGACTATACAGGAACCTGCCTCATGTTTACAGCTCCCAGCATCTCTCCTCCCAGTTACTTTGGCCCGGACCAGCACTCCCTCTAGAACAAGGTGGGAATGGGGAACAGCTCAAACCTGCGTGTGCTGTGGGATGGAGGATGTTTAGGCTTCTCTTCCCAGGTGGGTCTGTCGGGCAGCTCCTGCCCGGCTCCTGCAGGCTGAACCCTCCGCTGTAGCTGGTTTTGGCGTTAGGATGCACCGCTGGGAAAACTCAAGCCTAAGAAAGCAGCACCGAGCCTGCAGCCTGTCGCCCAGCCCAGGGCCAGGCCGTCTCCATCTTTTCCTGGCCGCAAAAAAAAGCTGAGCATCCAGGTGCTGGGGGGGGGGGGGGCGGGGGGAGCCAAGCACCCTCTGGTGAATCCCTGCAGCCCTCTGGGCTTGCGGGGCCTAAGCCGGTGCTTGGGCTGGGGGAGTGATTGTATGAAACTGTTTACTTCTGACTATGCTGTTTACAAGAGGGGTGTGGGGTTGGGGGGAAGGGGGCGGGGGGGGGACAAGCCAAGCCTCTGGAGGATTGGGCAAGGTGTTATCTGCACCAGCCTGCAGCAAGGCTTGGCACTGCCAGCGTCAGGCAGGTGTCGTGGGGATCTCCCGACCAGCTTTGGTCTGTGGGGAGGAGAGAGCAGAGGTGGCTCTAGCCTAGAGGGGTAAGATTAGCTCCCCTTTGTCCCCTTGCTGCTGTGTTTGAGGTTCAGCAGTGCTAGTGACAGATAAGAGTTACCCCTGTGGTCTTCCTTTACTCCTCAGGACCCAGCTCCTTCACATATCAGAGGCTCCCAGAGCCTTTCTGGAGCAATAAGACTTAACACAAGCATCACCAATCGTTGTGGAAATCCTCCACCGTGTGCGTTTGTGTGTCTCCTCCGTGTGCAGTACCGAGTCTGGGTTTAAGCCTGCCAAGTGGCGTGGGGCAGCCGCTTCAGGGCACAAACTGGGACACGTTTCCCCCGTGCTTTCTGCAGGTCACGAGAGCAGGGAAACGCGTTGCTGCTTTCCTTCGCTAGCCCTGGCGTGCGCTGCCCGAGCCTCCCGGGGCTGGGGGAGCTCCTGGTCGCCTTCCAGCCAGGCCCTGCTGCCGGGAGCAGGCTGTGTGCTTTACCCCGGCTCCTCGCAGGCCTGAGGCTCAGCAGAGGGGCAGCATCTGGAAATGAAAGCCTCGGGCTCCCTCGGCAGCGGGACGCGGCCGATGCTCCCTCGCCGAGGCGCTGGTGGTGTGGTGGGGAAGGGAGAGCAGCGCCGGCGGCTCCGCTCCGTACCGGGCACGTCGCAGCCTGTGGCCCTTCACACCCAAAAGCATTTCCCACTTTGGGGTGGCGGGTGCAGCTGGAAGGGACACATCCCCTTTGGCTGCAGTCTGCCCAAGAGCTTTCAACCCCCCCGGGGGTGATGTCCGGGCTGCGGGAAGAGCTCGCGGGGTTGGGGTGTGTGGGGGGTCACATGGGGCTGCTTGGTGTCCCCCATTCTGGAGCCTGCCCCCCCCTTCCCCAAGGGCTGCCCAGCCCAGCCCGAGCCTGCAGCTCGCTCATCCAGCAAAACGCAGCAGCTTTGCAGAGCTGAGCTGCTTCCCTTCTGGGCCGGGGTGGGGGCTGGGGGGGACCCCCCCCAGCCCAGGGGCACCCCTGCCCAGCCCTGCCCCAGGCTCCCCCTACTCCCTGCAGCCCCTGTGCTGAGCTAGCAAGAGGAAAAGGCTTAAACCCAGACTCCAAACTAAAGATAACGATGTTAGTAAAGGAATCTGTATTTTTATTTTCTTTCTTTTTTTTTTTTGCACAGAAGCTGGTAATCTAGGACCTATTTGTGAACAACTTTATATAAATATTTTTTGTACTTGGTTTACTTGGGTTGATATGAGACGTTCTATTTAAGTTCTTTGAACACTGTGGATACCCTGACGTGTATGAGTGGCAGAGGCTTTGTAAATTAAGAGATGTTTGTGTGAATAAAGCTATTTGATGGGGTTGAAAAGCCTCACACGACACACAGGCTTCGTGCATTTGTCCAGCAGCGGGTTTCTGAGGAAGGGGAGACCCCCCGGGGCAGCGGTGGCCAGACTGGGGCCCTGAAGCTGTTCCAGCTCCAGCCCAGAGGGCAGCTGAGCCACGGCGGGGCTAGCCGGCCTGACCTCGGGGCTTAGGGCACTAAACCAAAGCACGGTGGCCAGTGCCAGCCAGAACGTGGCTCCCTGGCACGCGGCACCCGCAGCCGTTTATCCTCATCCCCGATTAGGTTTAGCCCCGTTCTTGCTCCAGACACCAAGGCGGCCACGGGGATTAGTGGGGCAGGCAAAGCTCAGCCTCTGCCCGCACGCTGCCTGCGGAAACACCTCCCTGTCCCCAGCACCACCCCCCGCCCCCAGGTCGGGAGCCAAAGAGGACGAGCAGCCGCTCGCCCAGCCGGCCACCCGCCCCAGAGGTGGCTGCAAACCCAGCGAGGAAAATGCTCTGCAAAACTGCCACTTTAGTAGCCACAAATATTTTTCTCCCTTTGCACAGCTCTTCTGCCCCAAATCCCAA